TAAACCACACTTACTGCGAATAAATTTATCATTTATCATTTATCATTATCATTTATCATTTTACTAGCTCACGAAGTTATGGCGTCTCATTATATTGATATAATAAATCTGTATTGTGTACTCTGCTCTAAATAAATAAAGAAAACAATAGCTGAATGAGTTTCAGACAAGTTTTTTTTATCTTTCGGAAAACGAAAGAAACTCCTCTCTTTATCTCGTTTAGCTGATGATATACAGCCGTACACAGCACAATTCACAACCATTATAAATAGTAACGTAAAATGATGTTATATATTAACGTACAAGTTTCATAATTAATAAATGAAAACTATATTCAAATAATCAGAGCCGTCTTAGCGCGAAAACGGCTCGGCGACAGCCTTATTGCCGTTTCAGTCAATGTGACCGTCAATGTGCGGGGTGTGGTGCGGTATCTAAAGCTAGTGAGGGGCGGAGAGTGTCCGTCCTCGTTACTTTTTGTTCTCTGAATGAGAGCTTTTTTATTTTCTACAGTAATAGTTTTTAAAATATAATATTGTATTATTTTTCAATATTAAATTTAATTAAATAATACGTTACGTACATAAAATTAAACATGTAACTTACATTCGTGTATCCATCGAGGCAGACATATTAGCAAGTCTAGGTCCAAAATTGCCTTTTTCATTCCTCTCCCAACCAACCCATCCTGCACTTTCCACTGGTTGAATGTTCTACAAGATATTACATATATATAAATAAAAATAACAGTTTTTTCAAAAGAACAACCAAGAAGTAAATTATTTCTAGATAAAATCTTTTACGTAGTTTAAAGGAATTGAAATAAACGTACCTTAGTCACTACAGTAAAATTGCGACTGCTGCTAGCAATTCCGCCAGTCCTATCGACTCTCAGAGCAATTACTTTTAATTCTGAATCAGATAAATTTGGACACGCTTTTAACAAAGCAGCCATGAATAATCTTAAGGGCCAACCAGGATTGTCCCCTGAACTAGGATCAGTAAAAACAAAATATATTTGTTCTAAATCATTTTGCGAAATTTCATTTTTCATAAAATCTTCTAGAGTCTTCAGTGTTATGTTGTCATTCTCTTTAACAGCAATGAAGAAATATTTTTGTGAATAATCTAAGCTTTGAAATCCTTCGTTTAAGTCTTCAATTTGCTTGTTGCTTAGTTCGTTTGTTATTTGTTTCGGATCTTTGGTGTAAAGAGTAGGCTGACTAGGAGCGGGAAATGCGAACCAGTAATAGTAGTTGAATTTTTTGAGGTCCTGTATGAGATATTTTAATTAAATAAATAACGCACACACTTATAGACCCGTAATAGGGAAACCCCATATCGCGGGTGCCATGGACACACACATAGACAACCACAAATTACACCCAAATTTACGAGATAAATAAATGACATATAAATATTTCTCCCGGCCCGGGAATCGAACCCGGGACCTCTACGTGGCAGTCCAGCATGGCAACCGTTCGGCCATGGAGGCAATTTTAATTGTAATGTAGTTTGTCCTCCATAGAAGACATTATTAATATATTATTGCGATTACAGCATATCTTTGAAATCATGCAGAGCTAAAACTTAAAGGGATTATTACCCGTGATTGGATATTCAGGTGCTTATTTACCTAAACTACCTGGTTTTTACCGCTTACGAAGTTATAATATGGACACACTTTTCTGAACAAATGTATATATTTCTATGATTTTTAATACTGTTATTGCAAAATAATATTTTTGCATACAATTTCAAAGAACTTCTAATAAATTTGTCATTGAATATGTAATATTATGCAGACTTGTTTTTAAGATGGTATACACAGTGCACTGATTCTAAATTGTTAGTCTCTGTAAAAAATATGTTATTATCTTGGCTTGAGCCCAAGTGTCATCCCTTAATGGATCATTAACATTCTTTTCAAATTATGTCACGTGTGTAAAATTTGTGCTGTTCGTCACCGAGACGCAGATCAGATGTCCGACTGACACGGCGTACCTCAGCTACCCCGGGTATACTCTGGAGCACAGGTTTCTACCTCGTGCCGGAGTCTGTGCGTACGTTCGAGATGACATCTGGGTCAAGCTTCTCAAGAACCTTGAGGCACTGAGTTTTTCTGTTTTGTGGCTTCTGGTAGACACAGGAGTTACACAAATAGTGTACTGCTGTGTTTACCGATCGCACAGTGGAGATCAGGAGACAACCAAGCTGTTCCAATATCTGAGTGAGACGTCCGATGAGCGTAGCGAAATTCAGCGTAGGTACCCAGCGGCACAACTAGTCATTCTAGGGGACTTTAATGCACACCATCAAGAATGGTTGTTCTCATACCAGATGACCGATCATGCTGGGAGAGAGACGCGTAAACTTGCGTTAACGCTAAGCCTATCCCAGCTTGTCAGTGGTGCCACTAGGATACCATACGGCTAATAATCTCATACGGCTAAGTGCTTGAATCTTCTGCTGACAACTGATTCGGAACGATACTCTGTGGTTGTGGATGCCCCACTGGATACTTCCGACCATTGTCTGGTGAAAACTGTATCCGTATACTCCCCACCCGATCAGGGCCTGGTATGAGACGGAAGTGGCGATACAGGTTAGCAGATTGAGATGAAATGCGCCATTTCTTTGCGTCATATCCTTCATATGTTTGCTTTTCTTCAGGAGGCTCGTCGAGCTCTGCTGATGCTGTAGTCGAGGTCTTGCGTTTGGGTATGGGATATTATATACCATACTCCGATGTACCCAATGGACCCCAAGCTCGTCCATGGTTTAACGCTCACTGCAGTCGTGCTGAAGCACAAAAGCAGTCCGCGTACCAAGCATGCGGCCAAAGCGGTCCAAATTAACTTTTGTCACCCATCTTTGCCACCTCTGCTGAGGCCGGATGGCACGCTGGCCCATATTGCAGAAGAGAAGGCAAATTGCCTCACTCTTTGCAGAGATTTCGCGTCTGGATGCCGCAGAGAACGTACCACCTACTTTACCTCAGGCTGGCTGCACTCTGGCGCCAGTTCGCATACGCCAAAAAGAGGTATTTAGAACTCTGTAGAACCTTGACGTGAACAGAGCTAGCGGGCCAGATAGAATTCCAGCGGCAGTCCTACGTAACTGTGCGCCAGATTTGTCTCCTGTTCTCATACGCCTGTATCGCCTCTCACTTGAGACCGGTGTACTTCCCAGGTCGTGTAAGCTTGCAAACGTGCAACCTGTTCCCAAAAAGGGAAACAGTGCCGACCCTGTCAACTATAGACCTATCACAGTCACTTCCATACTCTGCAAGACTATGGAACGTGTACTCAACATCCGCCTCCTGTCATACCTTGAAGACAATGACCTCCTCAATGATCGTCAGTATGGATTCCAACGAGGGCGATCTACCGGGAATCTTCTTGTGTATGCGTGTCACATACGGAGCGAGGCTATAGAAAAGCAAGGCGAAGCACTTGCAGTGTCTTTGGACATTTCTAAAGCCTTTGACAGGGTCTGGCACGCAAGCCAAGCAAGTTTTTTTAAGCAATCTTCCATGTTATGGTCTTCCCACTGACCTTTGCAATTGGGTCTCGGATTTCTTGGGTGAACGTTCCATTCGAGTGGTCTTAGAAGGCTACTCTTCCGAACATATGGCGATATATAGAGTTCCTCAAGGTTCCGTACTGTCTGCAACTCTCTTTACGCTGCATATCAATGATATGATAATTCCAGGTACCTTTGCGTATGCTGATGACAGCACAGTTGTAGATACTTGACTAATGCAAGGGTCAGTGGAGAAGAAATCCAGTCTTGTCGAGAGTCCATGGTTGGCCATTTAGATTTGACGCTCAAGGCAGTCTCCGATTGGGGAGTTGCCAATCTTGTCAAATTTAACACTACCAAAACGCAGGCGAGTCTATTCTCCAGTAAACGGAGTCCCTTTGAGCTGATTCCGACTTTTCGTGATATATCCATACCGATAGCCGACCGTCTTCAGTTACTTGGAATGGACCTGTCGTCCAATCTGAACTTCGGCAGATACATTGAATCCATGGCCAAAAATGCAGCCAGGAACCTTGGCATCCTTTCCAGGGTGAGGCGTTACTTCACACCTGGACAGTTGCTTCAGCTGTATCAAGCACAAGTCTGGTCGTGTATGGGGTACTATTGCCACCTTTAGGATGGCTCTGCTACATACCAACTAGCCGCCTTGGATTCAATTGACAAACGTGGCAAGAGGCTTATAGGTGACTCGGAATTAGCAGAGCCTTGAACACCGCCGTAAAGTTTCCTGCTTATCGGTATTTTACAGGACATATCACGGAGAGTGTGAGCATTGAATTACACGATTTAATTCAGCCTTCATCTTTCCATCATCGGGGGACTAGGCGTAGGCTTGACTTCCACATTTATATGGCGAACGGCTATGGAGTGGAATTCCCTGCCTGCAGACTTGTTCCCTGAACGTTATAACTTGGACCTATTCAAGGCGAGAGTGAATAGGCATTATCTAGGTGTGCATGCTCCATCGTGAGATGGAGGTCAAATGCACACTTACATTAGAATAAAAAGCATTAAAAAAATCTGGTTATTTACTATGATACTTTCTATAGTTAGTTAGTTGCTGGAGGAACATGGAGGCAAACAGTAAATGATAGGGAGAAATGGAAATCTCTGGAGGAGGCCTATGTCCTATGACTGAAGGTACCGAGTCAACAAACTGAGTAATAATAAATAAGTAAAATATAATAAGTATATAAGTGTGTTATATAATGTGTTAGATAAGTTAGTAAGTTATCAGCAATAAAGGCTATAAATAAAAAAATAAAAATAGGTAGTTATAAATAAAATGACGTCGAGGGAAATGAGGCAGCAGACAAACTGGCAAAGGGTGGTGTTAGGGAAACCTTTATTGGACCCAAACCCTTTATAAGGATAGCATACAGCCTGGCAAAGCTCACTCAGCTGAATGAGAAGAGCACACATATCTGGCTCTAGAGTAAGGGTCTTGAGCATTCAAAAGCCCTGATGGATGCCTACAGTGCCAAACTCTGTAGAGAAGCTCTGTCATTGGACAGAAATGGCATCAGATTGCTAACTAGAGTCTTTCACAGGACACTGTGGCTTGAACAAGCACAAGTCACATATTTGGCAGAGAGAGAATAGTGAGTGTAGATTCTGCCAGAAGGTGGACAAAACTCCTGCTCATCTTCTCACCCAATGTTACCCCCTGATGGGCGTACGAAGCTCCATACTGGGAAGGCACATGCCACAACCAGAGGACATTAAATCTGTCAGAGCCACGAAAGTCCTTCAGTTCTACAATGCTGTCAGCCTTGGCTCTGAACTGTAATTAGTGGTGATCACAATAGATCAGCTGATGGTCACAGTGATGAGGGGTACATATGCTTCGAGTGAAACCACCCCAATAATAATAATACAAATATATTAGTTATCAGTTATATAGGTATAATACAAAAACATACCGCAAAAGATAAAATAATGAAGCTCAGTAAGCTTCCAGGCTTTTTAATCCACGTCATATCCTCGACATTCGCCCATAAAGTTTGCCCAATTACATTCAATAAAACTGCTTTGTCGATAGTTTTGAATTCTTCTAATGTGTTTTTGTTCATTATTGTACCCTCCACAGTAAGACAACATTGTTGACCTGTTTCTGGAATCCTACAAAGAACATAATTATTGTTATCACTGTAAAAAATAAAAATCTTTAGAAATTTACAATTTTTTTTTAATTTATTGGGGTCAGAAAACTTACACAATACAAATAGAACATAGCTATAACTAACAAAACAGTGACTTAATGAGTAACCAACACTGGCAGTTTTCCAATTTTAGTAAATACTACTGCACTCCTAATACATTAGTATCACTACTCACAAATAATGCCAACACTAATGTGTGTCTGTGTGCGGGTATGTGTGTGCACGTCTGTGTCTTAGCCCCTATGCTCTGGGAGTTATGGAACCCCCCTTCCTGAGATATATGAGTAAGTAAATTTTGTTATAAAAACCTAGCAAAAACGCAAAATCCTAATTGATTTTGTTTGGGAACACATAAAATTACAATATAATTTGACTTTAAAACAAGTTTGGAAATACCAACAGATTCACTTCTAGCAACTTGCTAAGTTAATATTTTAGGAGTCTAATCCTACTCACCACTTATTTTAGGATTAGACTACACATCACTTAACAGTCTATTCACCATATTAATTTCTATTCTCAACTCGAGGGTTGCTATTGTACACTTGAGCCAAATCTTCTACAGCTGACAGTTACAGAGAAAATTGACCAGAAAAAAAAAATTTACTGAAGGCCTAATCAATAAAAAAAAATCCACCAATTTTCTCAGTAATTATAGGTCGTAGACAATAAAGTATGTGAATAAAAAGCGTTTATCTACTAGAAACATAGGTCTAATCTACTAGAAACAAGTGTTAAAATCAAATTACATTATTATGTTTAGAATGGTCAAAATTTGTCTCATTTCCATAGTGCCCCTTTGCTCTGTTGACCCTTTGGGTGTCGTATTCTAGAACTCTAGTCAGTGCTCAAATCAGGACTTGAGTATGATTAGAAAAGCACTAGAAATCATACTCAAGTCCTTGCCATTAGCGTCGTACTTCCAGTGCTTGAAATCATACTCAAGTCTGCTCAAATCCTGACTTGAGCATTGTGAGTTCTGGAATACGACCCTAAGTTTACTTACTGATTAAATGAGGTTCCATCTACTTCAAACACGGTTCCGATTGTGTCCCGATATATGAAACGCCCAAAAACTTGTTTCTTGGTCTCACATAATTTGTCGACCTCAAGTTTTAGGTCTTTAAGCTTGTTCCAAAAGGAAGGGTGAACAAAAGATATGAATGGAGCGTACTGGATTATCTCCGCATTATCACTTGCGGTTGTCATAATTAATTTATTCACTTTTTTTCTCTGGAAAATCCCAAAAATTACAAATATCTTCCGAGAACCAGGAATTACTTTGTTTACAATTTGACAGCTATGTTTTTTTCCTTCTTTCCGCATGGAATAGGCGACGGTTAACGACCATACTGCCTAGTCATTAGTTTCTCTTTTTCTTCAGTACAAAATGTTTCGATTGAAGTCTTCAGATCCTTCAGTTTAAGGACTTGAGTATGATTTCGAGCAGTGGAAATCATACTCAAGTCCTTGCCATTAGGATCGTATTTCCAGTGCTTGAAATTATACTCAAGTCCTGACTTGAGCATTGAGTAGAGTTCTGGAATACGACCCCTAGTCTCATAGTCTGGCAAAAATATATCTTCGCGATATTGCAGGTAACGTACAAATCTCTTTTGGATAAATTCTATTCGTGCAAAATATACATCATAATGAGGATTCCACACCTGGGAGGCGTATTCAAGATGGCTACGTACGTAAGAACAAAAAAGTACCTATTTTAAACCTTTTTTTTTTTTGTTCTTACGTAGCGAACGAGATGCTTTTTAACTATATTATCAATATGTTGATCAAACAACAATTTACTATTAAAAGTTACCCCTAAATCTTTAATCGAGTCTACTCTAGTTAACGAAGTAATTAATTTAGAGGAAGAATTATAAAATGTGTATTTATGTAATATTTTTGTGGGTTTTCGAGTAGAGGTACTTACGTAGGATTTTGAAACATTAAGGTCCAATTTGTTTACAGTAGGGGTACGAGTTCGACTGGTTTTTACTTTTTATAAATAACAAAAATGCACAGGCATTTTCTTTTATGTACTTTGATTTTCTTTATTGTACATAGTTTCCTCCATCTCACGCGCCCACTTACGCAATGAGACGAACGAGACACGGTCGTAAGCATTGCCATAAGTTTTATATTTTTTATGAAACTTCGCCTTTTCTCTTAATAATTTAATTAAAGGTCGCTTATATCATAACGGGTACTTACGGGAAGGCGAAACTACAGTAGTGTTAATATATTTAACTGCGTGTTAAAGCTATAAATATTATCATAAAAGAACAAGACCACATCTTCGATACTTCGACTATTAAGCGCAGAGCGCCAATCGACAGCATCCAAGTCGGCACATATAGAATTAAAATCATCAGTATTATATAGGTACTTAATATAAGGGCGCCGCTTAATTGTGTGTAATTGAACAACACAGTAGTTACTACAGCAGATGGTGGTGACCTTGTGGCAAGCGGACGATCACACGCATTAACATGACATTATTTGAAAAAATTTAATCCAAAATCCGACCATAACTGTTGTTCACAAGAGAGTTATATTGTGAGAGAGAACATATATTAAAATTATCAATTAATTGTAACTGGTGAAGCTTTGAAGCTTTGAAGCCGGCCTTGAAGATTGGAAGGGACAAGAGATATTCCATTATTAGTTTGTGATCATTACTATTTACAGTCCACGAGACGAAAGGCTTATTAAAATCGCCAAATGATCGTAAAATATGATTATTTTGTCTAAAGGATTACGTCATCAATTTTTGTACGTAAGAGAAAGTTGGATGTAAGAGTCTAACAGAGTCTGCACGTCTGTTTTTTGCTCAATTCTAGCAGATCGGTCTTAGTCTTCGTCTTACTACAACTGAGTTTTTTTAGTCTTGCAAAAACCAAAAACAGATCAAGAGTGCAAGACTTAATTAGACCGATTTGGGCTACACTGTATCATAATGGAAACATCTATTTTTCGTTTGATCGTCTAAAATTAAAATGCTACAGTCAAAGTTCTTAGTGCTTCGAGTTAAGTGGGTACGAGAATTAATATTTTAACAGAATATCAGTAAATGACGTTTAATTAATAGAATACTGTTGCTTTTATTTTCAGGTTTTGGTGGAAGTTTTTAAAGACGGCCAGTGTTTTATTTAAATATAACACGTTCTTTTTGAAAAAATGTTGACTGATGTCAAAACCGAATAAAATAGAATCATATAGCTACAATGTCGTGGTGTGTTAAACGATTTTTTAGATTGTATTTATTAAAATAAGTTTAATTTCAAATTTTTTGGTTTAAACACGAAATTATAGTGAAGCGAGGTCTAAGGTTAGTAAGAAATCTTTCTATACGTATACTTATAATACCTCCTGATATAAGTATCTCCTTGTGTTTGCTAGATTTTACTCGCAACATTTAAATCTATTCTGCCCTCGTAAAGAAAAAAGGCACAACTATGCGTACTTTATACTATAGTTGTGCCTTTTTTCGTTCAGAGGGCAATATTATCATATTATTTAATTTGCAGATCTGAACTAACAGGCATTTTCAGCAACGTGAAATGGCAATAAGCGCTCACGATACACCAGAGACGTTGTCAGTACCTACTAATATCCTACGCAAGGACTGCACGGCTTTGGGGAAGCACACTAAGGTTGACGTTTGTGGAGATAGAATACATGATAATGGAAAGAGACGTGTGAAGCAGAGAGCACCATATCTCCGTAGCGACAAAATACAGACGCTGTCGCGAGTAACGGAGAGAAGATATTTCCACGGATCCTCATATCCATTGGCCCTAAGCATTTACAAAGCCAACTCGGACGAATTTAAAACACCGAGACGAAATAAGAAAATAAAAAAATCTGTACACACATTGCCTAATTATTCGGGTCCCATGACACAAGCTTGTACCGTAAGTGACATGAATGAATCCGAATACTATAACCGAGAAGACGAAGTTATTCAATCCAAACTAAGGAAAAAAGTGTCGCCCAGGAAATATCGGAGTCTGCGGAGTAACTATGAATATTATGACCGAGATGCTCAACATTGCTCTGATCTAGAACGGAGCTCAACCGAAATTATAAAAAATTTTGGTGGTGACGGAAAGCGATTTGTGAAATCGTGGGATTTGCATTTAAAATCGAAAAATGACCATACATCTCAAGACATGTGGTCCGTTCTAAGAAACATAAACAAATTCCAATTTAGGCCGTCGCCACGAATCTCTGATGTCAGTTTAGGAGTTTCACCAAAGAAGCGAAGTACTTTCGCAAAAAAGCACACCAATCTTCCAAATGGCAGACGGTAACCTTGCGTAATTTTCGTGTTTATTATACTTTTGATAATATGTTAAATGACTGTTCTTTTTGTTGCAGTCTTATAGAGACTTGTCGCACTTCGAAAGTATCATATGTAGCTAATTTTGAATTCGATGATGGTTCGCCTCGGTTAGGCATTTCGCCGTCTGTAAGTGGCGATCGAATCACAGTTGTTGAACAAAACAGCATCAAACCGAAGCATGATACGTACCATAACATGACTAAGGTAGTTACACCAAGGAGCCCGCTTACGATTCGTAACAGAAATTCCGTCAGAAACATTGTTCGTCCAACAAATATGACAAATTTGAAATCGATTGCAATCAGAGAATACAATAAATATGTACCTTTTAATAAATGTCTTCCTGAGGCTAAGAATATAAATACGAAACACAGATGCAGTAGCACAAGACTATCAATTGATTCAAGTAATGGTTTGAGGACCAAAGATAATAGCAGGGTGATTGAGCCGTCGGGAAAGTGTACCATGGACGATGAACACTTGATAGGTAAGGATTATATACTTCTGTGTCATACGTGTTCGTAAATGGTAGAATAACGTGCCAAAACTAGGCAGAATTTTCATAACACATCCTTAAGACGGTAATGCTCTCGGTCGCCGTCTCCGCCTGAATCACATTCGCGTTGCGTCCCCAAAATGCAATGTACTTTTTTATTTTATTTATTAAACCTGATATAAAACAATTAGCTTTACATCATTTATCAGTTTTATAAGGCACCTACGCAAATATTGTTTATTTTATCCATACGTAATGTCAAAGTAAAAAGATTTAATGCACAATAAAAAATAATATTCTTTACAGAAGATTTTTCTCTGATGTAACTACATTTATGAATAAACAATAGCGTTTTAAGCCTAATTTTATTTCCTCGCAAGTGTGATGACAAACATTGTATGCTACATGGAAGGAATTGCAATTACCAAAGTTCGGGCCTTTGACGCCCTCGCCTTCAGTTTGGGGTTTGAATGTCCCTCTGTTCCTAATCGCCTACTTATTGAAATTGCCAAAGTTCGGGCCATTGACGCCTTCGCCTTCAGTTTGGGGTTTGGATGTCCCTCTGTTCCTAATTGCCCACTTACCGCCTTGTAACACAATGTTCTGTTCTCTTATTCTTACTGGTCTTTACACGCTCAGCAAATACCATATTTCCTTCCAGATAAAAAAGATCAGCTTGGTACAGTTACGGTGTTTACGCAGAAATCTCGCCAAGTTACAATTATGCCGAAATTGACCAGGGCAGATATAAAAAGAAGACTGAATCACTTAAAATTTCCGTTGGTAGTTCTGGGTAAAGATCAAATTAGTTCTTCCATGGAAATTTTCGACTACGACCCACCTCAGTTTGATGGTTTAGATAAACATATATGGCCCTTTATGCTAAAGTGGACTGCAAAGGACGCTGACCCGATTGACCAAGTTACCAACAATCTTAGAAAAATTAGTTTTGAGGTACATAAGAAACCGAACAATACTTATGTGCAATTGACCGGGAATAAGAAGAGTGAAAAACGATTTCCCCAACAAGGAGAACATACAGCGTGTCCATTGGTACCAAAGAAATCTAAGCCTGTGCGCCATTTCAGAGATAAAATGTTAAGGTTTTTGTACAAAAATCCTTCGCCTTCTAATACTGAAGAAAATAAGGAGGCAAAATGTGCAAAAGTAGAGAAAGTAGACTTTTGCACAGAGCCTGTAATTGAAACCCTTGCAAAACCGTATAAACAAAATAAAAATCTGGATACATTAGAAGAGAAACCAAACGGCATATTTATCCTTTCTGAGCCGAACAAACCGAAGGAGATTCTTAATTTATTAGAAAAACAAACTAAAAATATGTTTGTGTCTAACTCGCGTAGGTCCTACCCGGGAAAGGTGGGAGGATATATGAATGGGTCAAAAAGCGATCATTGGAATTTCATAGATAATATCATAAAGAAAGTAAGAAGCGGTGTCTATTACAGTTATGATGAAAACATTTTGAGCTCTAAATCTGATGAAGTCGATTATATTGAAAATGTGATGAATACGTCCTCTGATAGGAGTGGTGAGTTTATGCTTTTCGACTTTTAAGTAAAACTTTACTATTGTATTGAATTCATAGAAAACTTAATATTTACAGAATCTAATGATGGTGCCATACAAAGTAATGAAAAACATAGCAAGAATGATTTGCTTCGACCTTCAGATGTGCTTACTGTTAGAAATGATAGTGGTGCATTCCACCCTTCAATATCCGAGATTGTTGGCGTTAAGATCCCTGGATTTGACGATGACGTAGATATTCTGCGCGAACTAGAAGTCAATTCGCTAACGTTTAATAAAATAGCAATAAAACATCGCTTAACAAATGTGATAGTACAATTCGATGTCACAATACCTAGCAACACGTGTGATATCGTCTTGGATGTAAAGAATTCATTTTCTTTAGTACCACTAACCGTTATTGAGAATAATACGAAAGTTTTTAAGTGCAATACTAAAATTGTTAATGCTATCTTGCCAGCTGAACTGTGCAACCTGGTGCCAAAGTTGATGCGTGATTTCTTAGATTCGAAAAAGCACCTGACTCTATTCCCCACTGCTACACCCTCTAACACTACTCATGTCCAGGAGTGTGCATGTGCGACATCTGACCTCGATTTGTACTCAATTTGTAATGTCAATTCATGCAATGTTTTGGATCTATATGACATACCCAACAGAATAGCGTGTGATATGTCACCCGTATTAAGAACAGCATTGGATGGCAAATTTGCAATTAAAATATATTTGCCTTTTGTATCAACATACAGTCGTTGTACTCTTCAAAAGTTTGTTATAAATCATACGTCAGGTATGGTCGATATAACAAATTTATTACCTGCGCTGTCGTCTCCAATACCAATATTCCTGTGTATAGTTAATCCATTAGATTTCCTTATGCCCAAAGTAAACTCCGGAAAACAATGGAAATCGTTTAATTGTAAGACTCTTCAAGTGTATCAAAAGAAGGTTTATTCATTGAATGACATAGGTCATCCAAATTTAATGCACACTATGAGAACCTTTTATACTTTTAATCTCACTTTCTATATGCCGCCGTATTTAAATCCTTTAATCGTGAGAAGTGATATTATGTTACTGACGTTAATAGAGGATATTGGAGGGACTATTACTACTACTGTCAGTAATATGCACGCGGAATCGATTTCAAGTCGGTTCTTAAGTATGAAAATTATTGGAATAAAGTTGAAAGTTCCTCAGATTGAAATTGCACTAAAGAAGAATGCTTCCCAGACGGGAATTGTATCCGATAACGTCATAACCGAAGTTTTACCGGTACAAGCAAAACAAAGCAAGGTAGCTTTCTCATTACATGAAAGTAACTTAATAAGCGGAAAACCAAATGTTATTTCCGACTTACTTAATAAAACAACGAAGAAAGAGCTAAAATATCGCAAATACGGATACAGTAGAATTTACAAAAAGTGCAAATCTACAACAAGCTTATCTGGTGAAAGATCTTCCACACCTTTGAATAAAATATCTAATTTAGATGATTTTTTCCAAGCTCTCGGTTGTGCAAAGACAATGTCTTGTATTTTCGATGGAAATAATGGCCAAAAGATCATGACAGCGATTGATGAGGTAAAAATACCACCTAATCTACAACGTAGTAGTTAGTAGATGCCCTTTAGATACGTACAATTGTTAAAAATTTAAAACTGTTAAACATGTTTGTAGTTGAAGAGCTGGATTTCCGACTTAACTCCACGACAAGCTATGCTGGTTTTGCTACTGATGAATAAGAAGGATACACCAAACCTAATACGTTTTCGTCCAGTCTTACTACAGGGTATCGCGGTTAATAGAATTACGAGAGCGATAGAACTTAATATGGAGATTGAAGTTATTGAGACCGAGAATGTAGGACTAACGAAAGAGGTAATATGTATAATATGTTCTGTTAGGATAGAAGTGTATATTACATAAATTTATACTGTACACACGTCCGAGTGCTGAAGCTGTCTGCAACTTAATTGTTTTTTTATTGTACAGTATGAAGGAATTAGCTATGTACCCGCATCGATAGAGAATCAAGATTCTCTTTTAGAGGAACTGTGTTGGATTGCCAAAAATACTGTAAGATGTTTTTTTTTTTCAATTGTTTTTCTAATTTGTTCATAATGTTGATACTACACTCTCTCAGCCGCCGGAGGCTAATTTTGTAGTATGTGTATTTCCAATTGAATGATGATATAGAATAGATTGATATATCATGAATATCATGATCGATCGATCCGCTTTGGTGAGTGGGCACCATTCATTGATTACATGTTCGTCGATAATCAATGTTATCGGACTTTTTTGTTTTATTCTGTCTGACTCCCAACATACAAACCTTGTGCGTTTCATCCTCGGTCTTCATTCCCGCCACGTGTTGCACGATAGAGCGTGCTGCTAAAGATGCCTGAGATATGCCACCAGTTTGATGAAAAATGTACACTACTGTTTCAAACCCGTGAATGAAATACGTTTTCTGGTTTTTATTGACTACAAATTGTCAAAATTAGAATATGCAAAATTAGATTTCCTCTTTATAGGTTGGCAGTTTCTTAAAGGTGGTTTCCTTGTAGCTACATCGGTATTTGTTACCTGTTTTAAATCCCAATTAATGACGCCGTGTGTCAATGCTGCTTCATGGTCGTGCGTGTCACACGCGGGCAAAGCACGTCGCAGTAGTACAACAAAATGACAGGTTTTCTACAGTTAATAAATTTATCTCTTTCTTCAGGCATCAGACTACCAGAAGACTTTCGATGAATCATCGGCAAAACTTTTGAAGTCTCTTATACAGAAAAGGAAGAAATTAAATCCATCTTACCTTCGTGTAGTAGCGCGCTATGTCGGGTTGGGCCTCTTGAAAAAGTACAATTGAAAACACCAGTGCGTTTTTGGGTTGCGGTATTATTTGGCCAAACGAGTGAAATTATAGTAACAGGTTTATTTCTACTTGAGAAGATGTTACCAAGTGTTAAATATTATGGTTATTTTTATTAAATTATTTGTTATTTATTAAAGTTAATAAAGTTTTAATAAGAGTAGTTTTTATTTCTGTGTTCACCAGTGTGTTTTAGCGCTGCCGCCTACTTGGCCACTAAACGTGACCATTATCAGCCACCAAAGCTGGATGCGGCCATTCGTCGTCCGTGGGACTCATTCATTGCTACCTCATTATGATAAAGGTGAACATTCACCGAAATTCTACGTTGTTAACAAGTATAAGTCGTCACAAGAGGCACCTTTCCGACTGCAGCAAAAAGTAGGAGGCTATACGGCTGTATGTACGTTTCATGTGTGTTCAATGACTTCTCCGGCAATATTGGACGGTTTTTAAAATTATTTTTTTTGTTTGAAAGGGTATAACTCTCTTAAGGTGGTCTTATCGTCACCAAGCCAGAATCTGATGAGGGAATCCCGTGGAAATCGTGAGAGTCGGAATGGCGGGAGTATCTTAACGAATACTGACAATTGAGAACCAATTTACCTAAATTGTACTACTTAGTACCTGTGCTTAAAACAATTGTACCGCCATCAGCACGAAGTTATAGCAATATCAAAGGTACATATGGCGGGTGTACCTTTGATAATGCTATAACTTCGTGCGTATGGTGGTACCTCAAATTACCAGTTTTTATTTAATAACTTCAAAAACTTATTATTTCAAAAATTGTACCATAATAGTACCTACCCTAAACTAAAAGAAACGCCAACTCGGCCTGCTGATTAGTTCCTGAGAAATACTAAATTTATTGAGAGTCAGAAGGGTGGATGTATTAGGGGTTAAAGTATGAAATTGCCGTTTTATTGCAATAGGTTCTTTGAATTTTCATAGAATCTTCATGGTTTGAGGTTTTCGAATGAAACTTTTTTCAAATGGTTTCTGTGATTTTTTTTTTTAATTTGAAACATTTGAATATCGACTTTCAATTGTTTTTGTTATTCAATTTAGACAAGAAAGATGGATACTGCGAAAATTCGAGTGATTTTTGAATACGAGTTCCGACGCGGAACTAACGCGGCAGAAACAGCCCGCAATATCAATGCTGCGTTTGGAGAGGGGTCTACTAATGAACGCACCGTGCGATTTTGGTTTAAACGCTTTCGTGATGGAAATTTCGACTTAAAGAACGAGGCACGAGGAAGACCCAGGTGAATAACGGTGAATTAAGAGAGATAGTGGAAGCCGATCCTAGTCAAACTACCCAGGAATTAGCGGCATGGTTTAACGTTACCTTACCCACAATATTGACTCACTTGCGTCAAATCAATAAAATAAAAAAATACGAAAAATGGGTGCCTCATGATTTGACTGATCTGCAGAAAGAAACGCGTGTTGAAACTTGTGTTGACTTGTTGAACCGGTACAGAAATGAAGGAATATTGGATCGAATTGTAACATGTGATGAAAAGTGGATTCTTTATGATAACCGGAAAAGAAAAATGCAATGGCTGACCCCAGGTCAAATGCCACAACAGTGTCCTAAAGCAAAACTTACCAATAAAAAGGTAAGGTAACTGTTTGGTGGTCTCAGCATGGTGTTATTCACTATAGTTTTCTCCGATCTGGTCAAGCAATAACGGCAGATGTCTATTGTGCCGAACTCCGAACCATGTTGACAAAACTAGCAGTAAAACAGCCCCGACTCATGAATCGATCTTCACCATTATTGCTCTACGACAACGCGAGACCCCACACAGCACGAGAAACCATTTTGACCCTTCAGGAACTGCAGTTAGAAACCATTCGTCATCCTCCGTATTCACCAGACCTTGCTCCAACGGACTACCATTTTTTTCGTGATTTGGACAATTATCTACGTGACAAGAAGTTTTCTTCCCAGGAGGCAGTACAAAATGCTTTCACACAGTTTGTGCAGTCTAGATCGTCGGAGTTCTATCGCAAAGGCATTAATAACCTTCCCATTAGATGGCAGCAATGTATAGATAATAATGGCAACTATTTTGATTAAATAAATTTGTTAAAAATTTAAAAAATAAACAATTTAGATTTTCAGTACAAATCGGCAATTTCATACTTTAACCCCTATTATTTTCAGTGCCAAGGTTAGTGTATCATTTACGTTGATTCCGCTGCAATTACTAGAGATGAGGTATATCGATAAAAAGTTTTCAATAATTTCATGAAAAAATGTATTTGGTAGGTCAATGGCGGGTATTCATTTTTAAAGTATGAATTTTAATCATAGGCAATAAAGTGACATGTCAAGTGTTTTTTTTCAACCTATAAATTAGTGGTATGATATGGGTCAATCAACTTTTATTTGATCGACGACCAACTCACTGTGTCCCAGACAGAGTGAGACCACTAACAAGAATTCTTTAAAACTATAATTGTTTTATGTATGGTTTTCTTAGAATAAATACTAAAATAAATATATCATTAACCAACATTTTCACTAAATTATCAAAATTATACATTATTTAATGGTTGTCCAAGTGACCCAAAACTTCGATGCATAGTATTAACGTTTGTCCTCAAGTAACTGTCGCACTATGATATTTCATGAAAGAAAGAAAGAAAGAAAGAAATGCCACGACAAAGAAACAATATCCAGCAATTATATGTAATTACATATTTTTTATTTTATCCATTTTAGGATTTTTTAGCATTAAGTTTTGGTCCCCATAAAATCTTACGTGGCTTAAGTCTATTGGACAATCGATAAAAAGTTCTAGCAACAATACATGGTGCGATAGCTATAATGATAAACAGCTATTCTTACCACCAAGAGGTGTGTTACTCAGGGTCGTATTCCAGAACTCTACTCAATGCCCATCTTTGCCACCTCTGCTTAAGCCGGACGGCACGTTGGCCCATACTGCGAATCTTTTTGCCTCACTCTTTGCAGAGAGTTTGCGTCTGGATGCCGCAGAGAACCTACCACCTACCTCTTACTATGTAATTTTCCATATCATTCGGCAGCTAAAATTCGAATACATAATTATTACATTACATAATTAAAGGCACTAGTGAATATAACACAACATTTACTATTTAATTATTAACACATGCTTCGATCTATGTACCCCTCACTGCATAAAGTGTACTTACGTCGAAGTGATCCTCACAAAAGTATATTGCTGAATTTACAGATATTTCGTCGTTTTAGGACCAACCATTTTTTTCGTATGTCGGATTTTCGAGGTACATCAATAAATAGTTTATTTAGGGTAGTTATAGAAGTATTCCTACATTGAGGTACTACACACCAACGATATGTTTTCCGTTCCATAACGACTTCAAACTTCACAAAAACTTTAAAATAACACCTTGCCCTTGATTTCGTAGTTTGTTTACCTACAAATGACGTCACGCGTTCAATTTGACATTTTGTTACGTTTGCGCGCCAATTTGTTTCTATTTAAATTTTGACGTAGTTTTAGCACATTTTAGAGACTATTAAGCTTTATTTTAATAAAATATTATTTTTCATGGCTGTACATATCTATTTTAGTTAATTCTTGACACTTTCTGAAAAATTGTCCGATTCCCTATTGGATCTCGGATTTCTTGAGCGAACGTTCCATTCGAGTGATCTTAGAAGGCTACTCTTTCGAATATCGGGCGATAGATGCCGGAGTCCCTCAAGGTTCCGTACTGTTTGCTATACTCTTTCTGCTGCATATCAATGATATGTTAATTCCAGGTATATATACGTATGCTGATAGCAGCACAGTTGTAGAAAGGTACTTGACCAATACAAGGGTCCGTAGAGAGGAAATCCAATCTTGTCGAGAGTTTATAGTTAGCCATTTGGATTTGACACTAAGGGCCGTCTCCGATTGGGGAAATGAAGTCCCTTTGAGCTAACTCCGACTTTTCGTGATATATCCATACCGATAGCCGACCGTCTCCAGCTACTTGGAAAGGACTTGTCGTCCATTCTGAACTTCGGCAGATACATTGAATCTATGGCCAAAAATGCAGCCAGGAGGTTTGGCATCCTTTCCTGGGTGAGCCGTCACTTCACACCGGGACAGTTGTATCAAGCACAAGTTCGGTCGTATGGAGTACTGCTGCCACCTTTGGGATGGCTCTGCTATATACCAACTAGCCACAATGGATTCAATTGACAAACGTGTCAAGAGGCTTATAGGTGACTTGGAATTAGTAGAGGAGAAGCTGCAGAGCCTTGAACGCCGCCGTAGTTGCCTGCTTATCGGTATTTTATTTTAAATGCATTACGGTCTCGCTAATGCGCCCATTGTATACCAGCGCATTATCACTAAAACGTTGAAGTCCTTCATTGACAGAGCGGTAAGCTTGTAACTTATATCGACGATGTACTGATCATGTCCAACTCTGTAGTGGAAGGTTTGGAAACACTACGACATGTATTGCAGACCCTAACTGCGGCACTGGATTTTTCAGTTTATTTAAAAAGTACACCTTCTTAGATACCGAACTTGAATATTTAGGGCGACTGATTGGACGTGGACAGGTACGGCCGAGCCCTAGAACCGAGGCCGTAATGAAGTTACCAAGACCCACGAATGTGAGAGAGGTCCGTCAGTTTCTTGGATTGGCGGGCTACTTTAGCAAATACGTGAGGCGCACTATAAGTTTCCGGAATGAATAAGAAAAAAATACTATAAATGGTCAGAAATGAATTTAGTTTCTCAAAATATTCTCCGTTAGCGTTAATGCACTTTTTCATACGAATGAACCAATTTTGAAAACATTTATATCACTCCTCTGTGACAATCTCTGAAACATATTTTTCCTACTCTTCGACAGCGTCTTCGTAAATTTTTGGAAATAAATAAGTCATAAGACGCCAGGTCGGGACTGTACGTGAGATGTCTCACAAGGGCAACGTTGTTCACCTTCAAAAATTCATTTGTCTTGGCCGTGTGAGAACTGGCATTATCGTGGTGCAAGACGATACAGAGTTTACGGTTATTTTTACGGAGTTTGTCAATAACAATGGTCATGTACCTATCACTCTTCACGGTACAACGATTCTCCAAAGCAACAGTAGCCACGTGTCGTTTTATTAAAAAAAGAAGCAATCATCCGCTTGAATAAATGATTGTAGTTACCCAGTGATTTTATTTCATTTTTGTTATGCTTTGTTGGCTTTATAACATTCAAATTTGCGTAAACGGCAGCCTGTGTTGGTATCATTACTTGAGTAATGAGTTCTGCTATGCTACGCTTGTAGTTTCATCACCATAGGTACATAGGTTTAGAGGTAACATAATATGCCAAGACCATGTCTCTGTTTCAGAAGACGATGATGCTGCCCAGCGCCCAGCTCAGGCTTCAGGCAAGGACGAACAAGCTGCCAATGACGTGCAGCTGTCAGGAACGGCCGTCCTAGAGGATAACCGCCCCTTGCCGAGCACCTTCCGGCTGTGAGGAATATATAAAAGCAGCGCCACGTGACTAAAAACTCATTTTGTCGGTTGGCGCTCGGTAGCAACAGACGACTCTCATCCCTATACAAATAGCTTGATTTGAACACGCTTATTTTCTTACATAGTATTTTTTTATTTGTGCAACGGTTTATTATTAAATTATTTCATTTAGTGATATTTTATGGTTTCTTTTTAACAATAAAATCTGTGTTTAGGTTACGCAGTAGTTTCCTTTTTTTAAAATTAACTGATTCTGATTTATAAGAATATAATATATTATTATATATAATGAAATAAATTCATGAGCTTGTAAAGTCAAATACGATAAGGAAATAGAAAGATATGTTAGTTTTTAGCTTTTTTTATTGGTATGAGTCCGTTCACTTTTGAGGTGCACTCTGGTTGGAGCTCTTGGAATCGCGCATCGACGCCGAACGCCTGCGCTTGATTTCTTCTTGACGACGAACCTGGAGATATCACAATCAATTTAATGACAAAAATAATAAAGATTTTTCGCGTAATTAACACACATCTAGCAGAGAGTTAGGGAGTTATCCTTAGGCTCAATTTATATTGCGGCGGAACGGAATGGAAGCGAATTTTTGTACAATATCGTTACAAAAATTCGCTTGCATTCCGTACCGCCGCAACATAAACTGAGCCTTATTTAGTGTCATAATAATACACGATAATTCGTACCTTATACCACATCGTAAACAATACAGTATTAACAGTTTTGAAGTGCACGTACAAACAACAGTTAAAATGTCACAAGAAACAAATTGTACCGCAAACAAAATTATTTTGTTCATACAATGCAATGTTTATCAGAAAGATCCATTGACTTGCTAATTCCTTTGTAAATCTTTGTTTTGGAATTGTTGCTGATTTAATACCTTAGTTCATATTGTTGAAAAAGTAAGGGGTAAGACACAGCACTTTGTTTTACAGCCGAATATTATTCCCACAAATGTTTTGTGGTCATGTGATACCAGCTGTTAAAGAAAAATTTAATAGAAAAAGGATTAGATCATTTGTTAACCATGAGTTCGGCCCACCACCATGCATTTTACGCTCAAGCGAAATGAAAAACCCGATATAGCATTGTACAGAAACAATACTAGTTTTGACTTGACTTGAGCTACATCCTTAAAATAAAAAAAAATAAAAAAAGTGCCTAATGAAAATAAGGCATTTTTTTTTCATATTAGTAGGCCGCACCCAACTTTGCATTTTACGCTCAAATAAATTATAAAAAACTCAATTTTAATCTGTATGCAAACAACATACAGCTGTAATTCGACAGTGATAAGATTCCTAAAATCAAAGATCGAGTCCTAATAAACGTCCTAAAAGGGTGGCCTTTTAAACTACTTTTAATTTTTTAAAACCGCCACCATTAACCCTGTGTAAATCATTAAGCCTTATTCATAGTGGCGGCGGGCGCGGGTGCCTGAAAATCAAATGTTGGTAGACGCTCGTTGCGTTCCAGAGACGCCGCGCGCGCCGGCGCCTGTATAGGGGGCATGGCGGGTCGTGCGCCGCGCGGGTGAATCTATTGGCTCAATCCGCCCGTAACATTCACAATGTTTGGTCTAGCGTCTAGCATTGTTTGCAAATTCTACGTGTGGATCTAACGGTTTTAGTCGCTTCGGCACTGTGAAATGAAGACGAGCAAGGCAAAGGGTTCATAGTGAAAAATTAAATTTCCGTTGCCATCAATTGACCTGAAAATTAAAGTTTACTAAGCAAGCAATTTGGGCCTTTTAAAACAGTGTTAATCAAACACACGTTTGTGACACAATTACAATCTGTAATTCCTTGCCAAAATACGAAAGGCTAAGGATAAGGTAGTAACATCTTTAAGATTAGTAAGGCAATTGTGCTGTCTTAAAGGAGATTTTGTACACACTGAGTAAAGCATCGTGCCGCCGACACGATCAATTGTCTCCATTGTCATTGTCTCTCTATGACACACGCATTTACTACAATGTCAAAACAATACCTTAGATTCCTTCTTTCTCTGCGCGAGCAATTTAGCATATTCGGCCTCGGCGGTCTTACGCTTGGTTATGCGTTTCTTCTTAAGCGCCAGTCGGTGGCGCCTGCGCTGCAGTACTACGGGCGTTACTAGCCTTTGGATCTTGGGAGCCTGAAATATGCGTTAGGTCATTGGCGTGTTTAATTCTATGGGTAATTTTAACGAAAACTGTTTAGTATCAAAATTGTGCGTTGATTTTGTTTTGGAAGTATGTGGATAACATTAGATTTAACAGAAAGCTAAAATATGTTTGTTTATTGCATTTAATACAAAAATGAGCTAAGATTATAAATAAGCACACGGCGAATTTTTAGGCGCCGCAGACACGCTGTAGTCTCGCGTGTGTATCGCGTATTTTGATAAGAGGTAGTTTTCATTTTAGTTATGTTTGTTTATTTCAGTTAATTTTTTAAATGAAGTAACTACATGAAATTCTAAGTATAACTCCAGTTGAGTATATAAGCTTATTGTTTGCAAAGCGATGTTGGCGCGCGCGAGTTTCACATCTACTACTGTAAGTTGACCTGACTGTATAGAGAACATTCAATGTTCAGCACACTGTAAAAGTAAACAGATATAAATCTGAGTCTTCTGCTCGGCACTGGTTTTATATGCCCTGATGCTGCTGTTACAACGACAAGGACGTCATAGAAACAATATTTTAATCAGGGGGATTAACAAAACTAAATAAGCCTGTATATAAGCTCGGTGGTACATACAACTCTGCATTTGTTTCCATAACTTACCTTGTATCTAGGCTTAGCATTTTCCTTGCCTTCCTTCGGGGGAAGGAGGCGTTTGACAACGTAGCGACGGACATCGTCTTCTTTGCTAAGGTTGAAGAGCTTGCGGATTTTGGACGCACGCTTGGGACCCAGGCGGCGAGGCACATTGCCGTCGGTGAGACCAGGGATTTCCTGGAAAGTATAATAACATTTACACTAACATAGTAAATAATCAATGTAAGACTTCAGCAGCTTTCCTTTTTTTTTTTTTTTTTTTCTCCCATTGTATAATAAATAAAAAATGTTATAACAACTCTATATACTTCCTAGTTGACTGAAAGCGTCCAGTATGTACCAAAGGCAAAGGTCTACTAAATAAAACCGGACGCCAGCCGAAACACGAAGTTTGCCTAGGGACATTGAGAAAAAGAAATGTTAAAAAAATACATATTTACAATGCCTTTTTACATTAAAAAAAAAATCATTACATTCTTATATCTAACTTATGTCAAAGTTTTATGAATAAAACTTATATTATTTTATAACATTTATTTAGATGGATATAAATTTTCAACCGTTCATGACACAAAAATTTACAAGTCCAAATTGCCATGAATATGTCTGACACATTTGGAAATGTCACTATTCAATTTAATGTCTAGTGACCGTACCAATAGTAGCATTATAATATCCCCTGTCGCATATAATTGCTCAGATTTGATGATCTGAGAAACAGTAAGAACAGGGTTCCCTGTATCAGTGGCTCGCATTTGGGCTTCAAATACAAATATCCTTTATTGCCACAATGACACTTTTTGACATAAATAACATGCTAAGCCAAAACATGAACAACCAAACATGTCAGAGGGCAAAAGGAGGTGTCTCAACTTGTGCGGCCTGAAACCGTTGTTTTCACAGACAGCACTGTTTTTCAGCCACCTCCTTGTCCCTAAGATCTTAGGTGGACTTCTAAAAACAATTATAAAATTTTGAAAACCGTTATTCTATGTTATTTAATAATTAGAATAGAATAGAAATCGTTTATTACTACGCTACAACAAAAATATACACAGTAATAAAATGAAGATAAAAAAAAGATTAAGCTACATTAAAACAAAAAATTAAAATAAAAATAACAGGGAAAAAAAGGAATAAAAATAAAATCATACACAACAACAAAGCAAACATTAGATACTTAACACAATTAAATTAAATGTCATGTGTGCGGCTGTGGCGTATGTAACATGATCCTACTCAACTATTGTCACCACCGAGAAAAGCCTGTGTGTGTGTAATTAAATATTATTGAACAAGTGACAAAAAAAAACATCAATAGGTTACTCTGACCAATACTATGTGTGTATGTGTGTGTGCGTGCGTGCGTGCGTGCGTGTGTATGTGCGTGCGCGTGCGTGAGTGCGCGTGTGTGCGTGCGTGCGTGCGTGCGTGTGTGTGTGTGTGTGTGTGTGTATTTATTACTCATATTGAGGGACAAAAAAAAATTGGGGTTAAAATAATTTGCCAGCTTTAGTACCTTCCAGTGAGAGTGCTTTATAATTATATGGCTTGTCTATGTCTAATATGAAAAAAAGGAAAGAAAACTGGAGAAGATGAAGTCATATAAAAACCCGTCTTAGCCCAACATCTTTCAGAAATGCGAACACCTAAAACTGTGGTCTCTGCACTGGTAAGTCATTAATTTGCATTATGTCAAGACTCACCTGGGCCCCCTTGCGGACAATAACAAGAGCCAACACTGACAGGTTAGCATCAACAATACACCCACGGACAGACTTGCGTTTTCTCTCTCCATCACGACGTGGTCTGTAGCAAGAATGTCCCTTTGACATCAGTAGGCGGACACGGCCTAGACAGTGAAAACAATAATATCAACATTTCTTTAGTAATAAAACAACAGAAAATAAAGCAGCAGTAGTATAGAGAAACATCACATACATTTCTTCAACCACAAGAACAGATATCAAGGAAAAATGTTTAGTTAGCTTATTGTTCTTGAACAAATTACTGCAAAAGGTTATAGGTTAAATCAAAATTACAAATAAAATAACAAGGTTTTATGACTTTTTTAGATTACAGGGAATGTTGAAAATGGTCTATGCGCAGCAATAGGTATTTGATAAGATAAATTTGTTAGATAAATAAGGAATAGAGCAAGAAGTGTTTGTATTATTCGCAATAATAACAGAATAGGCTATTTAATACTTTTTTCTCTCACCAAATATCATGTATTTCATAGATTTGACATACAAATTTGTTAAATGTTTAACAAATCTTAGATTGTTTGTTCTTTTCCATTTTTTGTGCCACTTGTCATTTGGGAAACCATTAATAAAATTCATTAGAAATGTAAAATGCTATAAATAAAATATTAATAATATAGTATTGGCAAGCAGCCAATATAAACAAGATTGCATACTAAAGCATATTGTTTGTGAATAAACCAAATAAATTCGTAATAGGGGAAATGTTCTCACCTAACCTCAACAAACAAATCTTAAGAAATGATTTATGTACGATTTGGTTTTGAAACACTGTATTATTAATTGTACTCACTGTTGGTCAGAACTCCCTGCTTCATCGGAAATCCTTGCTTGTCGTTACCACCAGCGACACGAAGGACGTAGCCCTTCCATTCGTCGCCTAGCTGATCGGCATCAACTTCAGCGCCCATACGCTTCTCGTAGAAGATGCGAAGCTTGTGCTCGTCCACCACTTCGAATAACTTCTGACATCCCGTCGCCGGGTACGAGACGTTCAACTAAAACAAATTAGAGGTTATACATACTTTGCTTACTGTTTGATGGGCTCATTTGATGTAGTTGATATTTTGAACAACATTGCCGCAGAAATAGTGCTCCTTATGTCCAGAATATGGCTTTTTATTCGATTGGAACACAATCACGGAAATATGAAAGTATTAGCGGCATGAACATTTCACTTCATAACACGGTTAACTTTATCCAACTTTTTCGGAAAAATCGTAGTATTTATGAACAGATACTCCTTGCCAAGTTTTACCACGAATATTTATATAGAGTTTAGAAAAAATATTTTTGCACATTTATGCAGAAAATATACAAAAAAATAAGAAAAACCTTCATGACTGCTATTTGCTGCTTTGAACGTCAGCCATGAAAAAGAACCAGAGACAATCCTGCATAAATGTCTAGAGTTCATCTATTATATTTTTAAGGGTTTTTGGTTTGGATATCAGTTCTTTGAGCCAGGTCTTCATTAATGAGCATTGTGGCTGAACCGTTTTAGTGACTTGTCATTTATATTATTAAAAAACATACTTTTTAAACATCATTTTCGTGACGCATCCGAGCACATTATGCACATTGCTAGCATTTTATTATTATAGCACGCTTGCACATTGCTAAGGAAACTGTTGTATTTATTTGTATCAAATAAAGCGATAGATAAAGTCAAATGAATAATACAGCCAAACAAGTGTGACAGGTTTAGTTCTCCAACATGCCAAATTAATTGACTTAGTTGTTAGAGATGAAACGGATAGTAATTTGGCAGGATAGCGGATACCGGATATCCGGCGAGCACCTAAGGTGGATAGTCGGATATCCGGCCGCCGGATATCTAAATCACTGCCGTAAACATCTCGCGACCGATTGATTTAGTGAATGATTGCACTTCCACATTGACGATTTCATTTGTTGTGGTCACTTGGTTAGCATAAATACGATTAATTTATTCGATATTTCAAACATAAATACAAAAAAAATATTACCAGTGAAAAAAAACGCCAATTTGGCAATATTTTAATTAGATGTGTGTCCACCACCTGCGACCTGATGACCCGGTTACTAGCTTCTAAATAACCCGATCATTTTAGAGTTTCAGAATAGAATAGAATAGAAGAATAGAATCATTTATTTCATATTATCAATTTCATAATATTACAATTCAAAATTTACATAATCGAAAATAAGGTAAATAATAATTTTAATGTTTAAATATAAAATAAAATAATTAAAAGAAAAATAAAGAAACATACGAACTACAAAAATTCAAATAAAAATTTAAATATTTTCAAAATACAAATGGCCAAAATTAAAAATATAATTACGATTTCTTTAAAAGTAATTCCTCTACTCTGTAGAATTCATTATCCAATAAAAGGTCTTTCAGTCGGGAACAAAACACTTCGTCATTTGTAACACTGTTTCAATCAGATTTAATTTAGGGTCGTATTCCAGAACTCTACTCAATGCTCAAGTCAGGACTTGAGTATGATTTAAAGCACTGAAAATCATATTCAAGTCCTTGCCAATAATTGTCTTCATGGCAATAATTGCTATGTTATTTTTATACTGTGACGATGTTTGTAGGCGTGTCACCTCGATATGATCATTTTGATCATGTTACGTTGACATATATATAAATCAGACGTTATATGTATATGATGCATTTCGACGTCGAAAACATAAACATATTATTGTCTTTGTTTAACTATTACGTGCCGTCTTAAGCCAAAAGAGATAGAATTACATTGGTCTGTGTCAAACACGGGAATCGAAAATTCGTAACGTCATTTTAAATGCCAACCGTGGCCATTTCAAGTACATAAGGTACATGATACCGTTGTCAAAGGGAAGTACATCAAATGTCAAAACAAATGTTTTTCCAAATGTATTATTGAATTATTCACATGTATTATAATTAAATTGGACAAAAATATTGACAGTGAGAATAATTAGGTATTAATTAAAATGCGACGCTGCAGCATTAAAGGATGCGGCTTTAGAAAAACTGCAAATCAATCGAATGTTACATTGCACAGGCATGTGTTATTTTTTTGTCTATAAATCACACAATAGCCCGAATATTTTATGTAATTAGACTTATTTAAGTAGTTTATTTATAAATCTTGCCAAATTTTGCTTTTGTTACTTTAGATTGCCTGTTTGTTTGTATATTTTGATGATTGTTGTTAACGATTATTTTGAGATAGTGTTGATCTTGTAAGCATACATATTATCGATATTCTGTTATTAAAACAATTCACTATGAGGTTTTTATTGTTTTATTATTATTATTTCAAGTTTTCCTACAAATGAAAAAAGGAAGAAAGAATGGTTGGAAATCATAGGACTGCCGAATATAAACGTTGGATCAAAGACCATCTTCATTTGTTCGCTTCATTTTGAAGAGTCAAATTGTAACAGAACTTTAAATGTAACTAGATTACATGACAATGCTATTCCATCATTAGGTTTATTGGTAAATAATTTTATGTTCAATTTAGATTAAACAAGACTCATTTGCTAGCTATTCTCAGTTCCTGAAAACAAAATTATCCACTCGTTTCTGATTTTTCCCAATGACAACTCTAACTATTAAAAATGACTATTTTTTTAAAGCCTGCAATACAATGACAACATACCAACGTATAGACAGCCTATTTGCCTTGCCTTGCCTTGTTCGGTGTCACTCGCCTAGCTGACCGAGTGAAGGCGAGCGCCAACGTGTTTGGAGTTCATTCGGCTTATCACAAACCAAAGGCGCTCGACCAATAGCGTTCACACGTTAGTCCGTCCGCATATGAAATGCATACTGGTTTTATAACTCTATTCAAAAAAAATCAAAACACAAAATAAAGAAGTATATATTATATATCAACAAAATGTCATGTTGTTCTGTTTCTGGAATAATCAGCATCCACCACGTTCGTTTTTGTCATTTCTTTTTTGCAACTTTATTGCGGGGATTCACTGACATGATAATTATAGGCGCCCATTAATAAATAGCAGCAGCTACAATAACTTCTACGTCATCCTTCCCGTTTCAACGCACAATAAAAACTGACAGCGACCAACGTGTGGGCAGCTACACAAAACTCTTGTGCAATGATTGTTTGTATTGATCTTTTTCAAACTTGTTGAAATGGGGTAATAAAGTTTGTATGGTAACTTTTTAACACGTGTTGCGATTTGGTTCATACTTGAATACTTTTCATTTGTATAAAAATTGTACGCGGACGAAGTCGTGGGGAAAAGCTAGTACATGATAATTGTTTACTTCCGATAATTGATTTTTACAACTACTTCCATTATTTCTGTGTTAAAATTTCTTGATAGATTCATTTGCTTAAGAAAGCCCGGGAATTAACGGGAATACTAGAATCCGCAGAAACCTGAATAGACTTGTAATTGACGGTTAGTTAAAAGACGTTATGTAAATATGTACTAAAATGTAGGTTAAAGGCGTACCTCTTAAAGTAATTTTTATATTTTATTTTGTAAGTACAATTAATACTACGTAATGCTACGTAATACAAGTAAAGTAGGTTTAATTAAGCAAGAATGCGCATGTCGCCAACAAACTGCACAGCAGTTTGGTGACTTTTACTAAATAAGTTACCAGTTGTAATGTTGAAAATAAATTTTTTTTGAAGTTTAAAAATGTGTGTTGACATTTATAACAATATACCACTCGAGATTAAATTATCAGACTTGTGTTTGTTTAGGCATACTTTGGTTACAGTAAACTAAAGAAACAAAAATTCAAGCCATACATTTGCATGTCGATAATGACTTATCGATAGATTATGGTACAACACTAAAGAAATCCGCCATTTGTAACTTTCAAATTTTGGTAATATGCACGTTGATTCTGTACTTAGGGCAGCTCCTTTCTTTTATTTTTTTCCATCCTCTAAGATTTTGATCATATCAAGGCGACACGAACCACGCCCCCGTGCCAAATCTCCCGTTTTTTTTCTATATCTATGGTTGTCGATAAGGTCGCTCACTTGTACGGCCACAGGTGATTCATTTTCAAAGTTTTTTCTATGTCAACCATAGATTTAGTATATAGGTACCCTAAATCTATGATGTCAACCGTCTGGGTTAGACCTATTTGACTGCAACTCAAGTTGCCGTGATGAAGAAAAACAATGCATTGATTCTTAAGTCGTCGTGACAAGGAACACTTCTAAAAACTTAAATCAAAATTCGAAATAATCACTGACATACATAGAAGGTGTGTCAGCAAAAAGGTTTGCCAATACACTTAATAGATATGCTACTTCTTAAAGAAGGTTTCATTGTTGATATTTATTTGTGTTATTACATTAAAAGCTAATTTTATTTAACCAAAATTTAAATAGTTAATAGACTAGATATTAGTGATGATTTTATTTAGCGGTGGCAACTTGTTAGACAAGGAGGGACCACTATTTCGAGCTATCTCACGTGACTCGGTTTTTTACTTTTACTTAAAATAAACCTTAACATAATCAATATTCATATACAATAATCATATCAATAATGTGTTAATTTGTTTAAATGTATGTCGAAGTGCGCGATCCAGTTGATGAAATATATAAATCCGTGATAAAAAGTCACAAATCCGATTTCAAAGGGCAACTCTACCGTACTAAAACTCTACCGATCCAATTTTGACGTTCAATATTATGACATTTCATAGTGCTTAAATTCTCTTTGATTTCAATGTGCTTCATATACCTATGCAGGCAGTCAGAATTATCAATCATCATCTTATTGCTATAGGAACGGGTTATTAAAAATTGTACAAAATTTTTGTGAGGATAAAATGAATAAAATTTTAAAAAGCATGTGTTGCCTCTACTGAAAACACACAAATTAGTAGTTATTAGTTAGAATTCATAACAAATTGCTGTGGTTTTACCTGTGTTCAGGATTTAATTTCCTTTTCTACGAATCGGTTGTAAATTCTCAAAATGAATTGCGAAGAGAATAAAGATTTGGCTCACAGGCAGCACGTGAAGTACTTTATGAGATTTTTGAATGTTTTGCCATCGTCTTTGTCGTCACACGACACTACAAGGTGAGCATATCGAGCTGTTATTTTTCGCGGGATTTGCTTATTAATCAGTTTTTATCGCGCTGTGAAAACAATGAACACACGATTACATTGAATTCTTTCACGTATTATTTTGCAGCCATTTAAATTGTTTATTTTTTATGCTATGAATCTCTAACGTCCTAATTTCAACCTATCACTTTTTGTAGGGTGACCATTGCTTACTTCGCTGTTGCGGGACTCGACGTTCTCGGGGCCATATCCTCAATTTCGTTGGAGCTAAGGTCTAGAATAGTAGAATGGATCTACAGGCTTCAAGTGGTGCCTGATAAAGCAAGTGAGTATTTATTTTTCCTTTTTAAAGCCATTGACTGGGTAAAATATGCATTCTCTTGTGTTACTGTTGAATATAAAAAAATATAAGAATGTCTACTGTAGATTTTAATTTTTAAGTTTAGTTTGACTCAATTTATATTGTGTTGGAATGGATGTGAAATTTGGTAATGATATTGTACATAGCATATTGAACTTTATGGTCAATTGTGTAACATACAAACTAGAAATGAGCCAAAATCTTCTGCAGAATGCGCAAGCAGTCTCGAACATGCACCTCATTCGACTAAGTGTTACTTTTAATGTGTACCCAACTTATAATAATAATGTAACTCTGTACTACAAAGTACTGGTCATTATTAACGTAACATCAAAAAGAAACTGTTGCCTTAGTCAACTTTCCCTAGATAAAAAAATATAAATCCAGTATAATCTGGTCATTATCTTTTTTTAGCTGATTCTGGAATGGGCATTGTTCTTTCCATGACTTGTTTGGCCAAGATGCATCTACTACTTAAATAATACTACTTGTAGCAGATAAAAGTCACATAAAAGTGCCATTAAATAATTAATAGGTGTTATGTATTTACAACACACATTGAAATGAATGATGATGTAGTTTGTAAACAATTTTTGTATGCACTTTTGTATGCATTTTGTATTGATTGATTTTTCACTTTCACATTGACGATTTGAGTTGTTTTGGTCACTTGGTTTTTGTTAAAATGATAGATTTATTCAATAATGCAAACATATATACACTACAGAAAAATGTCAACAATGAAAAAATTGACAATTTACCAAATTTTTTTATGTCAGTGCTGTTTGTTTGTTGTACTAAATGCAAACTTCATGTGATGAAGGAGGAAAAAAAACAGTTACATCATTCTTTGTCTATATTAAAATGTCTATTCAAATTCAAATTCAAATTCAAAATAATCTTTATTTCATAGGTAAGCATTATTATACTTGAAATCGTCACAATATTAAACTCTACCGCTCATTCGTAAGGCAGATTCCCCTGAGAAGAATGAGCAAGAAACTCTAGGGGTTGCTCTTTGTAAATAACATTTACAATATTTTTTATTATTTGAAACATCAGAGATCGAGACTACCTCCATGAGCTAAACGGGTTACTACTACGGATTTTTGTCATCCAAGTACGCAGAAGTTGTATAATAACCTTTAGTATAAAGTTTTTGTTTCACTATAGTTTTAAACCTCGTGTAAGGCAAATTTTGTATATCAAACGGAATCTTGTTATAGAAGCGTATACATTGCCCCTTAAATGATTTTTTGACTTTGTGAAGACGACTATCAAGAAAAGCTAGTTTATTTCTATTCCTCGTATTAATGTTATGTCTGTCACTATTTTTCATAAATAAATTACTATTCCTTTTAACATAAATTACATTCTCATAAATGTACTGTGAGGCTAGTGTAAGAATGTTAATTTCCTTAAACTTATCTCTCAAAGATACTTTGGGGCCCAGATTGTAAATTGCCCTAACTGCACGTTTCTGCAGGACAAAGATTCTGTTGATGCCGTATGTCATTAGACTGTGAAAGTAGCTGAAGTAAACCAATCTAGCGGTTTCGACGTCTGAAAGTTTCCTTATTTTTTTAATCGCGTACACTGCAGAGCCGAGCCGTTTTGATAACTTACTTATATGGGGACCCCATTGCAATTTAGCATCTAACGTTATACCTAGAAATACAACTGTATCCACAAGATTCAATTTTTCGTTTCTAACTACAATGTTTGTAACCGTCTCTCTAACATTGGGTAATGTAAATTTCACACAATTTGTTTTTTTCTCATTAAGAAGTAGGTTATTAACAGCAAACCAATCAACTACTTTAGATATAGCATTGTTCACATCGTCGTAGGAACATTGGTGCCTTTTAACTTTAAATAATAAGGAAGTATCATCAGCAAACAATACTATCTCATGTTTTACACCCTCCATAAGGCTAGGTAAGTCATTAATATAAACTAAAAACAAAAATGGGCCTAGAATTGAACCTTGAGGGACACCCATGCTAATTGCAGATCCTGACGATCTCGTACCGTTAACATCGACCCTCTGTACCCTACCACGCAAATACGATTTAAGAAGGTCGAGATCACGTCCCGCCACACCATAATGGCGAAGTTTCCTGACCAGTGTATCATGGTGCACACAATCAAAAGCTTTGGAAAGGTCACAGAATACACCAATAGCATCATGTGAGACTTCCCATGCATCAAATATATGATTAATCAACTCGACACCAGCGTCGGTTGTAGAGCGACCCCGAGTGAAACCAAATTGTTTATGAGACATTAAGTTATTACTATAAAAATGTGCACACATCTGATTTACAATAATTTTTTCAAATATTTTAGTCTAGTTATTATTTTATAAGCCTAAGCCTAGCACTTGATACGCCCGTTACTCTTTTGTTTCAGTTTGATTTCATTAGTTTGTTGTTTGAGATCTAACTATTGTAAAACATAATATAATAATAGTTTTTGCTGAATTTTTTTTCTAAATATAGTTGTAGAATGATAGTTATAAAGTAGAATGAATCAGTCTCAAAGTGAACAGGGATAAGACAAATTATGTCGAATATCCATGTACCGTCAACTCCCATGTATATGGGAAACTTTTATAATCCAAGTTATTGATGATTATTTATATATCTGAGACAAAATATCCAGTTAGCTAGGTCCAACTTCGAGAAAGAGATCAAATGTCAAATTCCACTCCGCCGGGCAGCGTTTGGGAAGCTGAGTAATTATATTCTCGTTCAAAATATCATGATATAAAAGTGATATTTTTGGAAGATTATTGGATTTTAAAAGTTAATGCTAACACTGACATTACAGGGTCTCAATGTAACTTATAAGGCTTCATTTTCAATTAACTGACGAGTAAACTCGCGAGTTACTTGGAAAGTTCCTTTCAAGTAACTCGAGATTCCATTCAAGAACCTGATGTTAAATCTCAATTTCATTTGTTCATATAACTAGGTCATTCTTATCAAACATGCACAAAAACTCATCACACAGTAGCTTCTATTTGTAAAGCCATTTTATTACTCCACAAAGAGACATTGTTATAATTATCATGCTAACATAATACTTGTAGTAAGATAATCAAAAGCTATGTAAAGTCGTAAAACTAGTGTTTTATTGAGTTACGTGTATTTGCACACGTTTCTACTACGGCTTTTTGTGATTTGTATTATCTTGTGTTATACTGTGACTTCCAGATTATGTTTGTTTTTATTTTATTTGCTCATTAGATGGCATAAAAGATGTACCTTGCAATTAGATTTAATTTCAGAATTATTTTTATGAAAAATTTCCCTTTTCAGCTGGAGACATGTCAATGTGCGGATTCCAAGGATCTTCAACAGTAAACATAGATTTGAACGCTGATAACAATCATTACCGTTGCGGTCATCTGGCTATGACGTATACAGGACTTTGTGTGCTATTGTCTTTGGGAGATGATCTTTCTAGGTGTAATAGGAAGGCATTGGTTGAAGGTGATTTTTTGTATGACGAATTTCTTATTAAATTTTGCACAATATCCATATTTTTTCTAATAATACTAACATGAAAATGACTCGATTTACGTCATAGGATATTTTGTTAACATTTTGTTTTCATAGAAAGCTTACATTTAAATTTTAATTACCTATTCCAAAATTATTTCCATAAAAAATGAGTTAGGCGCCGCGCAAACGTGTGTCTTGTGTTGGATCCAAGCAATCGGCAACTAGAAGAGAATATTCTATTGCCGCAACCGGCAAGTGTTCGACTGTTGCAATGTGTCGATGAGCTACTTGTATGAAAATAGAATATTCATTTCTAGTTATCGGTTGCTTATATTCAATACAAGAGACACATGTATCGAGTTCTTAAGTTTTCCCATTGTTACATATTAGGAACGAAACTAACTAGATCGCGTGTATTTGTTTTTTTCAAATAAATCCCAAGGTCACGGTTGACCCTGTTCCGTTTGAATAACAAATATACATGTGTATACGATTTATATCCGAAAAAATGTTTCATTTCTAATGAGTTAATGGTAGGCCTAAGGCAGTTTCGCTGGTTTCAGATTTTTCCATGCTGTCCCATTTAACAAAAACACATTGTATACTTATGCTTTTTATTATTATTCTTTTATAAACAGAAAGAATAACAGTGGAACTTGCGCTATACATGTTACAGGAGTAAAAGCCCTGCAAACAGAGGACGGCAACTTCGCGGCGACACTGTCGGGTTGTGAGTCGGACATGCGATTCGTTTACTGTGCTGCTGCTATCAGCTACATCTTGAATGATTGGTCAGGCTTCAACATCGAACGTGCAAATGATTATATTATTAAATCTATTGTAAGTATTCTAGCCATTGTGTTATTGATAGCACCGCGCTTATACAGCCGACGTGAGTCTTAAAGACATGCATCTGTACCATTAGCTCTCAGTGACAGTTGTCACCAGCGACTGGCGTATAATATTTGTATAGAAAATGTTACGTTTTTCTGTGAGGACTAGAAGGGCTGTGCAATGTGCCATGCAAATATTTTACGTGGTATATGAGGATGAGGGTACTGGACTCGTAAACTAACCCAAAGTAATCTGACTCCGTGCTGAAGCATACAAATAACGGGCAAGCAATTTTAAATGAAATGAAAAAATATTATTGAATACAAATTTAAGTCGCGTTAATATTGATGTTTTATTTCTATATGTAATTGCCAGTGTTGCCAACTAGACAAAAGCAAATGTCGCTTAACAAAAGGTTTAAAAGTCGTCACTTGGCGTATAGATTGTATTTCCGTGCCATAAGAAAATCCATCTCTTTTAGGATATATACCCATTTTAAGGTTCATTTAATTGGCCATAAATGGTTATAGCACAGGCAAAAGAAATGCTGAGACAAAATCATATTCAATGTTAAAAGATTAAACCTAATTAAATACGCGGCAAAAAAGTTGCTAATTTTTGTAGCTAAATAATATAATAATGTCGCTTTTGATGTCAAATTTGTTGCTTACTTTAGAGACAAAGTCGCTAAGTTGGCAACACTTAATTGCCATTATAGTGTCACCATGGATATTGATATGCAATACTTATTAAGGGCCTTGTTTTTTTCTTATTACATTAAAATACAAAATTATTTTTGTAGACCCATTGACTTAGTAGACCTTTTTATTTGAATATTTTGCCAACACATACTCTCTGTGGAAATTGTATGATGCATTTCTTACAAGAGAATTTTATACTTTTGAGAAATAAATACCTCAAAGTATATTTACATAGGCTATATTATATTTTTCAATGTGCTTCCATTGTATTGTTACAGAGCTACGACTATGGAATCGCTCAGTGTCCAGAATTAGAATCTCATGGAGGTACAACATTCTGTGCTTTAGCTACGCTCAGCCTTACCAATCAACTCGACAAACTCTCCATAGAACAGGTAGAAGGTCTCAAGAGATGGCTGCTGTTCAGACAAGTGGATGGTTTCCAAGGCAGGCCTAATAAACCTGTTGATACCTGTTATAGTTTCTGGGTAGGGGCCTCTTTAAAGATCTTAGATTCTTTGCACATGTCAAACTATGCCAATAATCGAAAGTATGTCTTTGAAACTCAGGATTGTGTGGTTGGAGGTTTCTCAAAGTGGCCAGATACATGCACAGATCCTATGCATACGTACTTAGGGCTAGCAGGGTTAAGTTTAATAGGTGAAAATGGATTATCAGAAATTGAACCAGCTCTCAATATAACTAAAAGAGCGTACGAGTATGTAAAAACGTTGCACGAAACATGGAGTACTGAATCATAGCGTTAACAATTTTATACCTCGAGGACTTATTTGCAAAGCAACTTGAATTATTACAGTAAGGTAAAAAATAAGGAAATATTATATGAACGACATGAAATGAAACATGTAATTAAAATTTTTAGCACAGTATAAATGTGACATTTGCCATTGTCTCCAAATATATTAAATACTACTTACGAAAGTGGTCTCCCACAACTTTCTACGATAAACAAAGGTTTTTTATATATATTTAGTGTCGGTTATTCCGAATTAAAAACTAAAGTCAGCATCAAAATGATCTGAACCAAATATATCTCCTAAAATCACAATTCTATGAAATTAAATTTTATATTCAAATTCGTTAAGACACTTCGTCGCCTTACTTTCTCAAACTCGTATCTTAAAGCACAAAGTTACTGAAATGCAAAAAAGGGATCGTATTAACAAATTTTGCAGGCTGATTTCACATCACATTTCTTTCATATTCACACACTGGCTTTTACTTATTTTTAAAGTAATTCATCGAAATTAACAACCTTGAAAAGAAATTTAAAATAAATAGAAAGTTTTGCCATCTCCTGAATTCGTGACTCAAGATACGACTTTGAGAAAGTAAGGCATCGAATTGCAATTGTGTATACCAGATAACTCTTGGTTCGATGTATTCACAAATAAACTTAATGCTGACTGTAACGTAATTTGTTAGGTACTCAACACATCTGGGCTTGCTAGTAAATTGGTCAATTAAAAGGTAGCTTGCTAACTTATCCTTATACATTGAAAGATAAATTGTTAATTTGAATATTTTGCTCTTTATTAGCTACCTTTGGTAATTTTTCCGCACATAATGATTCAACATAAGCGACTGAATTGATGCAGTGTTTGTATCGGTGCAATCGCCTATAAATCATAAGTGTAGCGATGCAATTGCGCGTTTCACAAACCGCTCTTATTGTGTGGTGACTATAGCTTTTTCTGACCAGTCTATTGCGATTTCGCGTCAGTTAATGTGGTGACTCCTTAACGAAAACTAAGGGTAGTCACACGAGCAGCATTGCGACGAAATAGCAATTTCGAAACTAATGGATTGCAGCTCATGTGACTCACGCCACTCTTTTAGGGTCTCAACTGCCTTGTTTACTTGAGCGTTTTACACAGGTGCTATTGATTAGGATCTTCCAATGTCAAAGAAAAACAACGATTAATCTATAGTACAACAATTAATTCAGTGCCATAAGCTGTTTACAATATGGCGTGTATATAAAACATGTAGTTAGGCATTTATTAAATTTTTCGCACAAAATCATACTGTTGGTTAGAATTTAGTCAGATTATAAACAAACTTAGTGATTAAAGACCACGTGTATACTGGGCTTTATTGGCCATACAGCTTAGGCCTTATTTACCATAATAGTGGGTCTTCTTACCTAAGTAGGCCGAAATGTATTGACTTTATAAACATTTAAGAAACCTGATGTAACTGAGTTAGTGTATTCACCTCTGATATACGATTCATACACCTGAACAACCGCGAATGAATATAGCAAAGGGTAGCGCGCGCATCTTAACGGGTTTCACACGGTCATCACGTAGTCCAGTTTTTGAAATTTCACTAATCAGGTAAAAAGTTGCCATTTAATCGGTCCGCTGTTCAAATGTTATAAAGGTGTTTCACTGTCCACGTTACGTCGAGTTGCGAACATCAGCCCGTTACACCAAGTACTGTCCACTCTGGAATAAGCTTATTCCAGCAGCACCATTATACTTCTCAATAACCACGGCACCTAGGTTAAATCTGATTGCCAAAAAAAGTCGTGATTTAGTCGGTTCTAGTCGCAAAAAGTCAGAACTGTACGCGTGGAGCGGCGGACTGACTAAATCTAGTTTAGGAGAAACAATTAAGGGGGGGGGGGTTTACAATTTATTTATACATGAATATAGTTTAAAATGTAAAATAATTATGTACTTTAAGTATCATTCAATCTAATATTGTAGAAAATTTAAATAAATGTGGGTTGCACCACTTTTGCGCTGATAGCTTTATTTTATATTATTACAATTGAAATAAGACATAAATTTCAATGCTCTGAGACGATTAGAGAAATCCGCCGCGATGCTCCGAGGTCTGCCTCAAGAGCATGCAATTTATACCATATTGATATTGGAATAGCATAAAATATACATTGCTGAATTTAATGTCCTCGCTTTCCCGTCCGCCGGTTTGCGCTGGCCTTAAATGACAACTTTATACCTAACTAGACAAATTACAAAAAATCGACCATTGTCACGCTGGAATAATGGACGGGTTTATCTAATTGAGAGCGCGCTCAATCAACCGGTAGTCTAATCTATTCATGATTACGGGCCGTATAGACGTCACAGATGACTGGGCCGTATAATTAAAGTGACTGTTTTTAATATTAAATTCTCATTACTACGTACACAATTATGTAGAGCACAAAATATAGAATGGTTATAGTTTAAAAAGTAATATCGGTATAAAGGTAAAATAACGCAAAACAGTTTTTACATTTTTTTCATAATATATGTTTTTACCCGACAATTGCGAAGCCAAATGTACTTTGCGACTGTGGTAAAATTGGGTGCAGTACATTCGATATAACAACAAATGGCATATTATTCTTGGGTAACGCTCAAGGGATATAAGAATATATACCTATATTAAATTGGTAATTTTTAGGTTAGTTTTCCATACCTAATTTCGGTGCCAATTTTTATTACTTAAGTATTCGGATTATCGTGAAATATTAAATAATATTTCAGGATACTACACTTTAATATTAAATCATACTTTGCAGTACAGCTCCTTGTGAAAGAGTTCGTCCAGGGAAATACTGCCACCTTACCTATTTCTGCCGCCAAGCAGTAATGTGAGTTATACTGCGTTTCGGTGTGAAAGGATAAGGGTGCTGGTGAAATTACAGGCATATGGGACTGATCAATTTATGTCTCAGGGCGACAGGCGCACTGGCAGAGCCTCTAAAACCTTTGCGAATTAAAGTTCTGAGTGGCACTGCAACTGTTATGGATAGGTGTGTCGCTTACCACCAGGCGCACGAACTGTTCTTCCCGTCATTCTAGAATATATAAATTGTGAAAATGCCACCGAACTCAGGTAGTAACAACTAACATGAAAATTTACCCAAATATTTGTATGGATAATGATAAATAGTATTATCCGATAATATAACAAATTATAACGTATATAATAATTTCAATTACAACATTCATTGAAATAATGTATTATAAAATATAACCCCTGGGGTTATATTTTATAATACACGCGGTCTGGTGCGTCAACTCGCAATTCTAAATTACGAAATAACGTGTTATAGAATTTAGTACATTACACCTATTGGTAAAATTTATACCATTAATTTATTATATTATCTAATCATTATACTAATGTTTGTTATATTGAAGGTTTTACTATCACAATGAAATTATACTTTTGGTAGTTATACCACTTATTAATTATATATTTTGTAATTAATGATACTAAATATAATGGAGTGAAAATTGACCAGTACGCACCTAGCAAAAATACGTGTTTTGTTTGATATCTCTCCAATGCGGTGTGCTTGTGGTGCAGACTATTATTTACTAAAATAATTGTAAAGCCTGTAAGGTTTCAGAAAAAAAGTTACCTTCGAACATTTTATAAAATTTGTAAAAGGAGCTTTTATAATACTAATCTCGAATAATTGTGCTGTTTGTAAAAAGCAATTTAAAAATATTATTGTTTCATTTTTTTACATTATTAATCAATATTAAAAAATTAAACTTAATTCATGAATTCCGCGTTCGATAAGCGGTTTTTATACATTTATTTTCAATGTGGACACGTCTGGTGCTGATGTTGTCTGATATATAAAAGCTGACAGGTAAGAGTTGAACTCATCCCATATTGCGTAAAGTTTAAAGAACCAGTTACCACTGCTGATGACATGAAAATTTATTTTAAAAGTAAACTAGCACTTCCGCGATGTTACAGAGTCAAACAGGAACTTGTAGTTTGATCCTAATATTTATTTATATATATGTACTCGCGGCTATACTAATTGTCGCATTTTATTTGTTTCCCATACCATGAAGATTTTAGTTGTAAATTAGTTATAGGTGTTATATTATATATAAATTATTTAGCTTTGATGTTTAAAATATTGTAATATAATTTGAATTATGTAAAATATACTGTTGTGAACGCATTTATTTCGATCTTTAGTTTTTATGAATAGCCTTGGAGAAATATAATGAAGTTTTTAATCAACTTGTGTGTTTGTATTTAAATGTATTGATATTATTTCACTCACAACTCGACCATCACGATGTTGACAAAACGTGTCGACGACGTGTACTTTTAATTCGTCCAGAATATGGCGCTTGCAACGTTTTTGAACTTATTACGATCGTGCCTAGATTTATGTGGCATTCTCGAGAAGACACGAGACATGATTTTTGAATCGTATCCCTTTGCGACGTGTCGCAATTGATTTCAATTGAATTGATTTTTTAATCTGATTGAAATTTAATTGATTAACGCCCAACACTGTTTGTAATAGACTTTTTTTATATTGTTTAGATACACCATCTTTAACTTACAGCTGTAAACCTTCCTAAAATAAATTAATAAAAAATCCGGCCTGTCTGTTCTCACGCTAGAGTTTGCAGTACTTGTATTATTTACATATACGTGACAATGATATTATAGAATGATGTACGCGTTATTCGCTACCAGTGTGGGTATCTTAGGGTTGTATTCTAGAACTCTACTCAATGCTCGAGTCAGGGTTTGAGTATGGTTTAAAGCACTCGATATCATACTCAAGTCCCTGCCATTAGAGTCGTATTTCCAGTGCAATCCCGACTTGAGCATTGAGTAGAGTTCTAGAATACGATCCTAAGGGTCGTATTCTAGAACGACAAGTCAGGATCTGAGTATGATTTCAAGCACTGGAAATACGACACTAATGGCAAGGCATTGAGTATGATTTCTAGTGCTTTAAATCATACTCAGATCCTGACTTGAGCATTGAATAGTTTTGGAATACGATCCTAAATCCCAGTGGATATGCGGTATTTCTAGTGTTCACACCAAAGCGGATATCGCTATTGTTATGGCTAGCGAAATACATTATTAATATCATTTATTATTAAGTGAAGTAATCGTCATTGACTTGCGGAGGGATGATGCAATGCGAAACCTGTTTTGCAAATCAAGCGAAAGATACCGCGAAAAAATAACTGTAGATACGGTCTTCCTGTTTCGCGCTAGCCGCGGAACTTCATCAAATACCTGACTCCCGTCAGGCACTGCACGGTATTATTCGCTAGCGAATATAGCTTAGTCTGAAAGGGCCTCTATGCTTGAATATCACTGGTATTCGACGTATTTTTGTAAGAGAACGCTTTCGAACATTGGTGCGAAAGAAAAGATAACACAACTCACAGATAAATATATTGCTTTCACTGTAGTTGACATTTCGAAACTTCTGTTTGAATACTAAATAAACAGATTTTATCTACAAATATAAATAAACGCAATACAGGCTTTTATTGCTACTATGCTAATGTATACTGGTAATGAAACGAAAATTAGTCGCATAACAATTTACTTCATTTCATCTTCAGCTTCATTCAAATTAAATTAAGTATTAAGCTAACTTAAATTACAAATGTCCTTATTTAGTTACATCCCTAATGATTAATTTCGTCGTAAACATTCGTCACAATAGTCATCATCGGCGCGCTAAGACCAGCGGCTCACCGTGGTAAATAAAAATATATGTTACAATACATACGAGCTTATGCGCCGCTATCGATTTAAGATATTATTTTATGTATCACAATGGATAAAGTCAGCGCAGCCTAGTACCGCAGGTATTTGATTCGTCTCAGCTTGAGTGTACTCCCGCGGATCATATCAGGCAACATGCGCTATATGAGCGACGAACGAGTGTGGGCGCTGTGAAGGCGTGGCTGAGAGCGGCGCTAGCCGGAGAGGTCCTCGTGGTCGAAGAGATCTTGGTCGTAGAGCTGCGCGCGCACTGTGCGGCCGCCGAAGTAGCGTCCGTTGAGAGCGCCTGCCGCTGCACGCGCCTCTGTAAACCGATCCGGAAGTTAAACATTCGTTTTGCCTCGCGAATTATAAAGTTTCAAAACCATCTATGTGAGACACAGAATAATAAATAGAGTAGAAGCGCTTAGCTTGCGTACCACGTGTGCCAATAGTCCGCGGATTTCCGCCAGTCCGCCATTTTCGCTTTGTATATTACGGTCGTGTAAACCTCGAAAATTGTAGTGCAAAAACGATAGTCGCAATTGTAATATTATGGTGGTCTTATACCACTGCAATATGGTCGCTTCTTTTAGGAGAACTAAATAAACATCTCGAATTCGTCGTCGTTCAGCTATTAACCGTTACATGGCAGCACATTAAATGAAATTTCAAAATAAAATAAAAAATATAAAACGGTGTTGAACTTTCAACGATATGCCAGCTAGGTAAAGTTTAAATTATATTAACAGTCCAGAATTTGTTATTTGTTTTTAAATTTGAAATTACGATCAATCATTATTAATGTCAATTATGTACGTGTGAGTTTTGGCGACAGCGGTTCCAATAATTATCGAGGCTTAAGGCTTCCATTGTATTTTTTTCTTTGTAATACACAAAACTAAGTACGAGTCGAAAAGCGATCGCGCGTCTTCTGGAGGATTATCGCAGTCTCGATAATTCCCGCAGCTACCGTATCTAGTTTGTACGTTATGCAATTAACATAATGTTATTTATGCTAATGTACGATTTCGTTACAAAATTTGTTTCCACTCCGTTCTGCGACAATGTAAATTGAACCAAAGCAATGTTTAAATCCATACCGGCGGGCTCCGCGAATTGCACAAAGATCTTGACTTGCGCGTGCGCCGGGTCATCGTCTTCGGTCTGACGTTCGTTGTATATGACGAGCCGCTCGACGACGCCCCACTTGCTGCACTCCTCCTGGATCTCGTGGTGCAGAGCGTCGTCCACTTCGTCGGCCGAGACCATGTTGGCCAGCAGCAGCGTGCGCGACTCGCGCCGCCGCATGAGGCGCTGCATCACCAGGTGCCGCGCCGACTGGCCCGAGATGGATATGGACTCCTGCTGCTGCAGTGTGTCGGGCGACGACTCCAGCAGCTTGCGTTGCAGCGCCGCCTGCTGACCCTCGCCCGCGCTGGCCCCGCCCGGGGGCAGAGGCGGCAGGGGCGCGGGCGGCGGCGGAGGCGCCTCGTTCTGCAACAGATTCGGCTCGTTCTAATTGGGAAACTATAGAAATTTTATTGTGAAGGTTTTCAGTGGCCTGAAAAGTTACTCACTTTGTGGTGGTGCAGCCGCGCGGTCATTGGCGGCGGAGGGATGACCACGCCCGGCGGAGGGATGTTGGCGCCTAGGGCGGTGGGCAGCGCCACCGGAATAGTGGCCACGCCGGGTAACACTGCGGGAAGCGCAGGTAGAGCCGCGGGCAACGTCACTGGAAGTGTCACAGGCAACGCCGCGGGGATAGCCGAAGGCAGCGCGGCCGCCAGTGTAGGCAGTGCCGCAGCCGGCGGCACGCCTAGCGCATTCAGCTTGGTCAAGCCCAGCGTCACCGCGTTTTGTGCCACCGCGTCCATGGCCTGTGTTCACATATACCATGTTAACAATGCTGCGTTCGTATGGGAGAACCTGACACGGTTGGAGGTGGTCGTACCTGTATCTTGGCGGTGGCGGCAGCGGCAGCCACTGCGGCGGCTGTGGGCATGGCCTGCGGGGCCGGCGGGCCGGCTAGTGCGTTGGGAGGCGTAATGGCGCGGCCCACGCGTAGATACTGCCCGCCCAGGTCGAACAGATTCATGGATGCGATGGCTTCCAGTGCGGCGGGCAGAGTGGCGTACTCAATGAAGCCGTAGCCTTTGTGCTTGTGCGCAGACGAACCGTACGCCAACTTGCAGTAAGTGATCGGCCCAAACGCCTCGAACACGCTGTGCAACCACATCACATGTATGAAAATTTAATAAACAAAAAGGAACGGACACAACAAACGTTATAATTAAAATACAACATAAAACTATGGCTATATATTCATGTTACTCACATATTAAATAGCACTCAAAAGCTTTGTATCATGAAGTACGGAACGATACAGATACTACGACCATAAGATCGTAACGTAGTATGGACTATAAGCCCTACATGCAGTTTGTGGCATATTTCTTTATATTTTCTTTTTTAAGGCATCACAAACTTATGGGTGCTGGCAGATATATTCGAATTTTCCAGTTTAGTCTTGATATGGTAGACCAAAAATTTTTTCTTGTTGACGCTTCCTACTATGTTTTGATTTAATAATTTGATATAATTAGTTTAAGTTAATATTCAGAATATTTGATTGCAGTCATTGCATTATTTTGTCAATTGCATTATATATGTCTAGCTCATGGTTCCTAACTATTGTTTTCTTTATATTATTATTGATATGTTGTCAACATAGATTGTTGATTTGTTATGTCTATGTCATTTATATACAGTAGGAACACAATCAGTGCTATTACACTTTTTTGTGGAACATGATGTGTTTTGATTCTGGGTCAAGATTTAAAACCCTGTAAACTTAGTTCATCACCTTGAAACAAACAACACCAAGACAATGTTGACTGTTTGTCAAATTGGATTCCATCATTTGGAATTTGGGGCCCTTGTTTATTTCAGAAGTAAACTATGTTTACAGGTCAAAAGCCATGATAAATTATTAGACTCACTTCTTAATGTCGTCTTCGGTGAGCTCAGGGTGGATGGAAGCGACGTAGATGCGATTATACTGTTTGGCTTCTTCTTGGATCTCGTCGATAACGGCTTGCGCTTGGGGCATATTTGAAGGCCTTCCCACCACTTTAATGTTCCTGTGAAGACAAACACAATATAACAATATTTAACAAAATTTAATCAATATATGACAGTACTGTCGTCTGGGCAAACCAGGTGTGGCCCTTACCTGCCGCCAAGCATGACGCCATTCATCTGCTCGAGCGAAAGTTGTGCTGCCTCGGGGATCTCGTACTCGACGAACGCGAAGCCTTTATGCTTTTGCGTCACCGGGTCCCACGACATGTTAATGGACTTGATGGGCCCAAATGGCAGAAATGCCTGCCTGATCGTGTCTTCTTTCAGCTCGAATGATATCGAGCCCACATACACCCTGCAATGATAACATTCATGTTGTACAACAAGCGAACTTTCATACTTCATGCGCGAATCGTGTTGCAGCTCAGATCTTTTCAGCTGGTGAATCACAGGCTCGACCAGCGCACAGCCGGAGACGGTTCGTGGCGGGAACCTCACATATCGCGCTCATCACAGCCGCATCACGCTCTTATACGCAGTGAAAAACTAAGCAGTATTAGAGGAGTACCTGCACATGAGCGCAAGCGCCTGCTGGCGCTGCACCTGAGTGCGTTGAGTAGCCATCTGCTGTTGCTGGTGTGCCAACGTCTGCTTCATGAGAACCATCTTGATGCTCTGTTCCATGGCGTACTTCTTGGCGCGCGTGACGGCGTCCGCTTGTTCTGTTGACAGTCGGGGCATTGTGCCGCCCAGGATGGCCGGCAGCGTTGAGCATTTGGCGCCCGGCCCTGTAACACGATCCGTCACCATTAACGTGAGTGCCGCCGTGAGTGCAGCGTCACTTGTGGTGTCGTCGCGGTACACACCTGTGTATACGTCGCCCACTTGCTGCAAGTCGTAGATGGGCGCGGTAATGAAGTCGCCGGCGGGTGGTGCGGGTGCGGTACCTGCAACAGAGCGCTGGTGAGTGGGGGGCTGCGCAGTTTGCGGAGCAGGCAGTCGTCGGGCACTCGCTCAGTCTCTCCGCCGCCCTTAGCCGCCGCTTGCCTCGTCGTCGGCGTCCACCCTTTGAGCCCTCTCTCGCTCTTTCACTCGCAACTCTCTCTATATTCTCTTTTTCACTAAAAGGTCTTAGGGCGGATTGCGGCAGACGAGGGTGCGCCACGGGCCTCGGGCGGCCCCATTCATGCTGCGCTTGGGGCGCATATAGGAAGGTAGGTACATTGTGCTGAGGCCGGCTGCGACTCCGCCGACGGCGTGCGTCAGCGCCGGGGTGCGCTAAACGTGAACCGAAAACCTAACTTATATCTAGCCTGAAACAGAAAGCAGAACACGATCACTGATCGAGATTCGGAGGAGGTCGGGGCGGCAGCGGCGCGGTGCGGGCTGGCGGGCGGCAGCTCCGGCGATGCGAGCGCCTGCAACAGCGAGCAGACGCCATCGGCGTTAGAGGGCTCGGCACCTGCTTCTGTCATGGTCATGGCTGACCCATGGGAGAATACTCACCCGGCGCGGGCAGCGGCGGCGGTGGTGCGACCAGCGGCGCCGGCGGCTGCAGCAGCTGCAGTATGCTCGTGTCGCCGCCCTGTAACTGCAATTAACGCAATATTTATTTGATACAAAACTATGACTATAAAATTTACTTGGTTGCAGTAAGATTTTGGACAAAACAGGTTAAATATTGGGATAAGACCAGCTTCACTGTAGTCACTTCTAAAGTAAAATATTTATCATTTCATTCATTATTTGAATCATGTAGTGGTTATTTCATGTCATGATGTATCTCTCCTGCATTTGTATTTATTTATTTATTCTTAGGAAGGTTTACAGAATTCTTTAATATTAATTTGAAAACTAAATGTAAACTTATAAGCCTATTAAAAACCTCCACATATGAAAATCTAAATACAAAACATATGTTAACACTAATTGCTAATCCTACATACGCATACGCATATACACTTTAGTTACTTGGTACTTGGTTACTACTCTTTAGTTAATTTAGTTTAAGTCCAATAATAATATTAACGACGTAAATATATACATATCCAACTATACTATTTAATACATACATATATTCAACATAATAAGATTTATATACCTACTTATAATTCGAGCATACCCACCCACCATATCTAAAATATTTACTAGTTTTTAAAATAATTCAAACCCACAGTTCTCTTTATAGATGCAGTGCTAGACGCAAATAAATCAAAGTCATTATCGGTGTTATACTTGTTAAAGGTTTTACAGTATGGTAAGTATTAATTGCCCTATTAGCCAAATAGGGAATTTTGGCAAGAATGACAACCTACCTGATACTTAGTAAAAGTAGCAGGTAGGTTGGGTTAGAAAATGCAGCTGCGACGCTGTGTCGGCTACATGGATATAATTATGTGTAATTGATAAAATCATGACCATTGTAGCGTGAACCAGCTGTGTTTACATTGAGCTCTAACGTTCGCATCACGATTCTTTTATAACACGCGTAACAGTATGCCAGAAACGCTGTCGCCATTTCGCGCACGGTGTCCTGATGACAGCTGATGTAGTCGCATATTGATAATCGTGACAATGAAGGCTCATTATCATCACGCTCAACAGCGACGTAAGAGTAATTTACATTGGTCGAAGAGGTTAGTTCCTTCTGGAACAAAAATGGTCACAAGCCCAACTTTGAAAATAGGTGCAATGTAATTTGTCGATACTCACTAATTCCATTTCTTAGCTGGGAAGTGTTTTGAAAATAGTGCAACACGTTACACCTTCAGCGCAAATGGCAGGAAACATAAAATGAACACACGAATGACAAAATGCTATACCGCAAACGTGATGGCAAGACAAGTTGGAAAAGAGGCAAGCCGAAGCCAAGCGAGTTTGACAATGACGATGACACGATGACAATTAACTCCGGTGTTGCCATTTGATAGTAATAATAATGAATTTGTATACACGTCTTATATCCATAATTTTTTAATTTAAATTAGCTTCAAGCTACACACTAAAGAGTATCTTATAAGCTTATAGGTAACGATATAGTCATCAGCTCCATAGATTTAGTATATCCATATACTAAATCTATGATCAGCTCATAAGACCCCTGGTGGCTAACGCGGGAAGTATTTTTACTTATACACATATCTCCAGTCATGCTTTTTACTGGCTCTCTGTGTTAATGTTTTTATTTAAACATGTTTTGAAGTTAATATACTTACTGCCTTTGTGAAATATATTGCTGAAAACAATAAGGAGAACAAGATTTTCGTCCTTTCCATTATTTAAACTACAATTAGGTTTAAAATAAATTTTATGTAAATTTTTTCTTTGTTATTTTTTTTATTATACTACAATTTATTTGTAAGTCTATGTACAATTATTAAAAAAAACTCATTTTGTATTTTTTTAAATTAAAAATAAAATAAAAATGTACGGACAACGGCACATCAGACTACATACGCATTTTTGTTCGAAAATCGCCTCCAGTGCAACGGAACAAGATACGTTAATGTGTAGCTTGACGTGCTGGCGTGTGTACATTGTTGGCGAAAAACTAATTGCTATTAGAGCCAGTCCTGGAGGACGGACAATTTTACTACTAATTGGTGATGAAAAAGGTGCGTCAAAGAAATATTCTTACATCGATTAAATATTCGTCTTTAGTGACTTTTAGTAACATGTGGGCCCCCATGAACCCTAATCACAGCTTGACAACCTCCTTCGAATATCTTCTTGTAGCATTAGCTCCCATTCTTCAATCAACGCTTCAGTGAGCTGCTGCATTGTTTGAGCTGTATCTCAAATGTGTTCAATCGGATTTAGGTCACGGTTCATGGATGGTCCCTCCATTACACGGATTTCATGACGCCATAAGTAATTTGACGTGATGGCTGCAGCACGAGGTCTGGCATTATCTGCTCCGGGCAAAACATGATCTTCGAGCACGTTTTCTATGTAAGCTTGAGCACACAACCGCTCGGGAACGAGAGACGAGATCTGTGCGCTCGTCCAAACTAACTCTGCCCCAAACCATCACAAAGCCACATCCAAATTTGTCATATTCCTGGACTGCACTGTATCGCTCGCCTGGGCGTCTGTAAGCACGGAGACGACTATCGCAACGTATTAGACGGACTCGTGGGTCGTCAGTAACTGGCCTCCAATATCGAAGTTGATAATTAGTGTGATTTTGCGCGAACCGTCGGCGAGCTTGTCTATGTTGAATAGTTAGACACATAGCCTGAACTGGTCGGCGTGATCTCAAATTGGTTTCCATTAACCTATTTCTTGTCGTCTGTCGGTCGGACAGTAGCCGTCCTTAGTATTTTGAAGATCTCTTGCAGTTGTGGTGCGGTTACGAAAAGCATAGTTGACGATGTAGCGATCTTGCAAACGAGTAGTTTTTCTCTTTCGGCCTTGATCAGGCCTCCGTGAGTATTCTCTCGTCTCACGGTATAGAATAGAACAGAACAGAACGGAACGGAACGGAGCGGAGCGGAACGGAACGGAACGGAACGGAACGGAACGGAACGGAACGGAACAGAATAGAATATCATTTATTTCCTGTAAATATGGCAAGTACAATATAAATTAGATGTTACAAATTAAAATAGAGTTCAGCATATTTTGCCAACAAGTGGCATAGAAATATTTCAATAGTCATAATAATTGTGATGAAACATGTCAAATATAAAACTTATCAAAAATACCATTAAATGTCAGAAATTAATAAAAAAACAATTTATAATATGATTAAAATTAAGTTGTCACAAGTTATCCTGCAGGAAATCACTGACATTGTAATAACATTTTTCAATCAATAGTGATGTCAATTTCTTTTTAAATAATGATAATGGTAGTGATCTTATGTCTTCCGGTAGTTTGTTATAGATTTTAGGTCCCATGGCAACTACACTCTTTCTCAACAATGCTGTTTTGTAACTACCTGTTAACAATAAGTTACTGTATTGTGATCGCATAGGCCTTTCTCTGACATCCGATAACTTTATATTTTTTTTTATATTCATTTTTACAAAGATGCATATTTCCAGGATATATAAAGAGGGTAGAGTTAATATGCGATTTGAGATGAACTTTGGTCTGCAACTTTCTGTTGGTTTTAGTCCACACGTGGCTCTAATGCACCTTTTTTGGCATTTGAAAATACTTTCTCTCTCACTATGATTCCCCCAGAATACTCGTATAACACCAAATCGTAATAATGATGCAACCATGCCATGGTAAGCTACTACTACGGATTCCAGTTTAACTTTCTTAGACAAAGTGAAGAGCGCATATGCGGATTTACTAAGTTTCCTACAAAGTTCTTCTGTTTAAGGTTTCCATGTTAATTTATTGTCTAGAATTATACCTACAAACTTAGTCACTTATACCTCCTCTAGATGCTACCTTTGATGCTAAATATTTAAGTTTCCAACTCTTAGTCTTTGGTAAAACTGCATAATTTTAGTTTTTTCTAAATTTATTGTTAAATTATTATGTGTTAGCCAAGTTATCATTCTAGCTAGAGCATCATTTACATTAGTTTCATGTGTCTTGGGGTTATTATCTTTGGATTTTATTATGGCCGTACAGTCATCCGCGAATTAAACCATGTCGTGATCATTTATTGTTCTAGGGAGATCATTTATATCAATCATTTATTAGTTCCCTACCGCTTAGATATGATTCCATCAATTTCAGTATATTCTCTCTAATTCCGTAGTCGTCAAGTTTTTTTAATAGTTTTAAGTGATCTACACAGTCAAAAGCTTTCGTCATGTCAGTATATATTGCGCATACCGCTTTCTTTTCATCTACATTCTTCATTATATTGTTAAGTAAATTGAAAATTGCCATATTAATAGTTTTATTCTTTCTAAATCCTATTTGTTCATTACATAAAATGTCAAATTTGTTGAGATAATCACGAAGAAAGTCATAAATAATATATTCAAATTTTTTGATATTATTGGTGTTAATGCTACAGGTCTGTAGTTGGCCATATTTTCTTTGCTTTTCTTTTTATGAATGGGTTTGACTATAACTGGTTTCAGTTTGTCTGGATAGATACCCTGATCAATACATAAATTTAGTATATGGCTTAGGGGAGCGGTTACTAAGTCGGCAACAAATTTCAGGACTCTTGTATGGATACCATCATAACCCACATTCTTCTTGTTTTTTAGTTTTCCAATTGCTTTCATTATATCTGTAGGGAGAACGGGCATAGGCATAAACATAGATTGTGAACCTTAATGACTTTTCCTATGTTGTATTGTATCTTCCAACTTTCGGCTTTGGTTCACATAGTATTCATTAAAAGCATTTGCCATTTCTAATGGATTTGAAATAGTTTCCCCATCTTTTTCGATTTCATTTATATGTATATTCATTTATTTCCTTTGGACCATTTATTACCCGCTATGTAGCTTGAGATTTATTTTGAGATGTAGCAATGAAATTATTGTTTAGTGCCTTCTGTGTTAGTTTAACTATTTTCTTAAATGTTCTCGAATATCGTTTAAAAACTTGTTTATTGTGTTCCGAAGGTAAGTTTCGATATCTCCATAGTAACTGTCTCTGTTTTTTACTACAATATTTTATACCTTTCGATATCCATTTACTTTTATTATTAAGTTTAATCGTTACAACTTTGAAAGAAAACATAGGTCGTAAAGGAGGCGGAACATCTCTATGAATTCGTTATAGCTTGAGTTTGGGTCTACTTCTTTATAAACGTCATTAAAAGAAAGACATTGTAAATGTTTCTTGAGTACTTGAAGGTTATGCATAGATACGTCACGTACCTTTTTTCGCCACAGATTTAAAGTCGATGTCCGCTTCACTGGAATTTTTAAAATTTGTGCTGTATGGTCTGATAAAGCTAAATCTATTACCTTTGTCGTACAGTTATGCTTAAAGTTATGCGCAAAATTATCGATACAAGTGTTACTACACAGCCGTGTGGGTTGTTTTATTTGTAATTTTAAATTATAATTTAAGAGAAAGCACTCAAAATTCAACGTTAACGTATTTCTCTTCAACGTATCTATGTTAAAGTCACCACACAAAATCATTTTCTATTAGCATTTTTACATATTAATTTCAAAATGTTCTCTAGTCTATCATAAAAGTCATTAATATTTGCAAGTACAGGAGGTCTACATAAGCACAACACCGTCAATTGGTTTTTTGTCAATTCTATTGCACAACATTCTATCACGCCTTTAATTGAAAGCTTTGCGACATTTGTGAGCTCGTTATATGTATGACCGTTTTTATCAAAATACACGCTCCTCCTCTTTTATTGTGTGCTCCTAATCGAAAATTCGGTATCTTCAATAATTTTTCATGACCACATAACATAAAGTGCTCAGTTACGCATATAATGTCTACGTCCACTTGGTCATTTGATAGTGCATCTAGGTGTATGGTTAAAAGATCTGATTTGTTTAACAGTCCAGCAATATTTTGATGCAGTATACATATATGATTATAATAGAAAAAAATCCGAATTAGTGTTACAAGGGCTGTATTTTGTATTCAGCTTTGATTCTTCCCTTGTTATGTATTTTTCTTTAGGCTTATTTTGCAGAATTCGTTTATAATTAATTATAATCTTCTTTATGTTATCAAAAATTACTTCCATTCCATAGTTATTTATTGAACCGTAATGTTTGTGAAACATGTAATCATAAGATAGATATAGATTTGAGTCCAATAGTTCAGCGTACCCATGAGTGTGTATGTCAAGGTATAGTAAATTATTAAAAAATCCTAGAATTAAACATCGTTGAAAAATCCGTAAATTTGTATGTCGGTAGGCATAGAATTAAATTTGTATTTTTGATTTCTTGTAGTGTTTCTCGTAACTTTAGTATTATGTTAAAGTAATCTTTAGTTTTGTAAAAATCTTCTTTACCAATTAAAATTATGCAGTAGTTTTGTTTCGTGTAGCTTTTTAATTTATTTTGCAAATTATTTATCATTTCCTTTAGTCCACAATTCGGAGTTACATAATGACATATTTCAGAATTTTTGAAAGTGTGTTGCGCTATTTTCAAAATGGAATTTCTTTTGTTGCAGCTTAACATACAAATCTTTGTTTTAGTCAGCATCTGTTCGTTATTTTGTTTTTTAATTTTAAGTGGCGTATTTCGAATGTTGGAGTTGATTTTCTTAAAAGCGTTCGGTTGTGGTGTAAAGAACTTCGAATGTAAAGTATTAAAATCTGTTGTAGCTTTCGTCGGCGAAAAATTTGTTGTATTTAAAATTTATTTGTTTATACTTTTTCTATATCTCTTATTTGGTGATTTGCAAATCATAGTAAGTAGTTCTCTTCGTTTTTTGTTCCGCAATAATCTTTTGAAAAGAAAAATTTTCTGAGAGCAGATAGCTTCCAAAGTCTGTAAATAACAGACGGGGCTACTCCTAGATCATTTCCTACATAAAGCATAGTTCGATCCTCTTCCAGCAAAGCGATAGCTCGGGAGACATGCAATTCAGTCAGATCTGGCATTATGACATAAACTTACTCGCTTCAACGAATAACAATACTCAAAAGACTCGCTTCAATCTCTATTATTACTCAAAAGACCTGAAAAATCACTTGAAATGAGTTTTCTGTGACTACTCACAGAAAACTTTCTAAAAAGTAAAGACAATTCAATGACGTCAAGTTGTTTTTAGGTGTTCAGACTCTTGACCACTTTATTGAGAACTACTAACAAAAACACCGATGTACTTTTGTTTTTTAATTTCTTCGAAAATGCCTCTACATTAGTTAGTGGCCAGTTATAATTAAAATCTTAAGCATAGGCCCTTAGACTATTCCTTCCTCTAATCCTGGGCGATACCGCGAGCGAAGCTAAGCTAGCTTAGCTTGCGTAGCTGCATGAACTATGCGACCTTAGCTCGGTTAGCTTAGTTCGCGGTGTGAACAGATGTATGAAAACATAATAAAATTTGAAAATGTTTTTACATTTTCTGTACACTATAGTCAAGCGCAAATTAAGCTATACTTTGAACCGTTCTTATACTAGTAGGTATGGCGTGACTCTGCACATACAAGATCTCATTTTATTATTTAAGTCATAACGTGTGATCACCTGACTATGGCGAATTAGAGGGTATTATAATGTGTTTCACGCGTACGTCTGTTACCTCCTACAGCCTAAACACTTCATCGGGTCTTAATATATATTTATCTCAAAATTTTACTCGTTTGAGCTCACTAAGTATAATTTGCACTGGATTTCAGTAGATCATCCGATTGGATCATTAATAGACTACGTGACGACGGCTAAAATTTAATATGACGTGCTTTTAGGTGCTTATCCACCGGTGAGGCGAAATAAGAAGAGGCGAGACAGTGATTGAAATTTGTATGACAAAATTCTCTCCTAGTGCATCTTCGGTGGAAATAGTCTGGATTGACGAGGATCTGCGATTAAAATTTTGCTATACAAATTTCAATATCAATCCTCGTCTCTCCTTGGCGGTGGAAAATCACTATTAGACGCCATAATGCGCGACAATATCATGCACAGAACAATAAATGCATGTTTTATTTTCTTCCGTGTTAAGTATCATGGGTAACCGATTGTTATACGTTGCCATAAAGTGAACAATGGCGTTGTGTTGCTATGGAGACTATAATTGAAGACAATATTGTACGAAATACACAAAATTATAAGTATTCACTTATTAGAAGTATATAAAATATATAAATAAGATAAACTGGACTAGATTTAGCTGATCACAGTTGCTATTGATGTAAAGGTTCAAACCATGTTTATTTTTATTTTCGAATATTTTGATATTTTGGTATAATTTTTGACAATTGTTATATGTATAGTAACTAACTAACTAACTATTTAAATTACGTTTCCCATTTTCCCCCCACTATTTATACGTAATAATAACGGACTAACATCACGTTAAAGTTAGGCAGTTAAATGTTTTGTTCCGAGATGTCGCTGTCGCAGCTGTGCAAATACTCCAATTTTTACCCCTACTAGTTTAAACCCACACACGAATATTATTACATAATAGTATTAATTGATCACAAAACCGAAGTCACAATCCAAGCAGTTATACGGCTTTACGAAGGCACACAAAGTGTGTTGTTCATTACAGTGTATTATTTATTAGTAAACATTAGTTTAGGGGTTTTAACAAATTAAATTCCGTTATTAAAGTGTCTCCGATAGTTTTAATAAACGCTCTCCTGAGTGAATTGGTTAGTGCTGTGAAAACAAGCAGCGCGCGCGCACGTTACAGTTTGTCTGCCGACAGCGAGTTGCAGTGCGTACAGTGAATAACAAGTGTAGTGATGTGAACCCACTGACTAGTGCAGTTTAGTGTTTGAATAACGACATTGAAATTTGGATTTTACTCATGAAATTTAATAAAAAAAATAATGGTGTTCTATTTGAATAATTCGTCACGGTAAGTTAATGCGCTAAAATTCCAATAACCTACCATAAACAACTACAAAGTATTGTTTTGGAATTTTCACACTGAACTCAAATACTTTCATATGGAAAATTATATTGTTATAATATCGATATTATAATTATTTTTCTGAACCGTCATCGATATAATTGGCTGGTTCAAAAATACCTGTTGATCTAAATACGTGTACAATCAACTTAATGATTAGTTGGTCATATAGACCTTCACGTGTCTAAACTAAACTATAAAAAAACTCAAGTAAAATGTACTCGTAAATCTATTATAATTCATATTTGTTTAGGCCTTAAACTATTTAAAAATGCTTCCTGTTATCATGAAAATCTCTGTACGCTAGTACGTACATAGATATAGTTGATATGATCAGCGACTTTCGTTGCTAGGCAAAACAATGATATTACCATAATATTAAAATGCGAAAGAGAAGACAATGAGCAGCTGGTTCGTCACGGTAACTAACGAGTCCGTGTCTATAGAAGATGTGGAGGTTTACAATTAATATGAAGAACCACACTTTCCTATTTCTGCCGCCAAGCAATAATACGAACATTAATGCGTTCCGGTTTGGAAGGGTAAGGGTGCTGGTGAAATTACAGGCACATGGGACTTTTCAACTTATGTCACGGTTACGGGCGCAGTGGCAGTGCCCCTAAGAGATTTACGATTTGAAGCCTGAGTGGCACTGCAACTGTTATGGATAGGCGTGTCGTGTACCACCAGGCGCACGACTTATTCGTTCTGTCACTCGGAATTATAAAAAAAACACACAAAAAAGACTGATTAGTGATGACGAACTCCCTGAAGTATGGGAGCTCTTGTTAATGAAATAATCTCTGTACAAAGTACTAAAAAAACCGATGTCAAATGTTCGTTTGTCAAGTTTTATTGCCATCGGTTACAGGAAAGTGCGCGAACCCGGATTCATCCCCTAGTTTGCTACCCTTAGAGATGGAATATTTTTTTAAAATGTATATGGAACCAATACTGAGGTACCCTCTTTCCAACATAAAAAGAATCATCAAAATCGATTCACAACTGCCGGAGCTATCGCGTACATACATATAATACAAAATACAGCCGAATTGACAACCTCCTCCTTTTTTGAAGTCGGTAAAAAATAGCGTTCATAATGAAATCTGATTGTTTATTGACCCTTAAATGTCGAATATATGTTGTGTCTTTAGCGTTCTACATGTTGTGTGTCGATCAGGATATTATATTTCATTTTACAACAGTGCACTAGAATATGCACTGAATATTATTTTATTTTCAACTTTTCGTGATTTACGATAAAAGGCTTACGTAGAACCCTGCATTATGTTTACTGTACTTATTCCATTAATATTATGATAAGTATGTATATATGACAGTCAACTAGCACTCAGTTGGAAGTAAAGGATCTATATTATAATCTCGTTTTTGAATTAATTTCGCTTTAAAATTAATCTTTATTCACGATAATAATACAAAGATTGTATGAAGGGTGTGGTCTTCGATGAAAGTCATAGGCAGAATTTTTTTTCTGTATTGAGCATATTTACTATATTATTAGCCGTAGTCTCTATCCATCGAGTTTAATCCAAGCCTGTTCACTTATGATGTGACAAAAATGCAAACAAACATTCTAGTTACTGCGCTGTACATTTTCTACCGCGACGGAATAATACTTAGTTATATTTTATATTTATATTTTAAATTAATGTGCATATTGAAACCTAAAAACACTATGGAGATTGTTGGTCAGACTCCTTTCAAAGCTCTAAATTTGTCTTGGAAAATAAATTATTAGAAAACAGAAAACAATTTCTATTGTACTACTACAGTAACCAGAAATATGCGCTGGAATTTATTCCAAATTCTAATCAGTAATAATTACCTATAGCCCAATTGGGGAGCTTCGCCGCAGGTCATGCGTACTACTAGCCTGGCACTTTCCTTTTCTGCTGGGGAATACGCATGCCCTGTTTGGAGCCATTCTACCCATGCAAAATTAGTGGATACAGCCTTAAATGAGACCTGCCGGATCATAACTGGCTGTCTTAAGCCGGCCCCGGTAAGATTGCTGTACCCACTAGCTGGCATAGCTCCACCAGACATCCGCAGAATTGTAGCGGTATCTTACGAAAGAGCAAAAATGGCCATCGACACTCGGCACCCAATACATGATCACTTCACAGTGCAACAGAGACTGAGAAGCCGGAAAAGTTTTGTCAAAAGTGTCGATCTTCTAACCATTGAGCCGGCTCAGGCGAGGTGCAACCTTTGGCGCGAAAGAATACCGTCTACGTTTGTTCCGGCTTCTGAGAGTCTTCCTCCTGGACACGAATTGCCATGGCCGATATGGACGTCTTCGAATAGGCTTCGAACTCAGGTTGATCGGACCAAGGACAATTTGTTCAGGTGGGGATTTTCGGATGGTTCTAACCTGGACTGCTTGTGCGGTGCACCTCCAACGATGGCCCACCTCATATCGTGCCCTGCGCACCCTAACACCTGCACGCTTGAGGATTTAATGGCGGCCACTAGTGACGCGGCCGGCGTGGCTGAGTTCTGGGCCAAGTGTAGTGTAATGTATGTCATCGATACGATAAGAAGACCTATAATAGCCCATGAGTTTATATTGTTGATAGTCAGTTTTCAACTGTGTAAATACTTGTGTACCATATTTAAGTTCTTAGGTTTTCTCTATTGTTACACATTGGGAATAAAAACAATTTTTGGGATCTATATCGCGTATATTTGTTTTTTCAAACAAACCAACGTTTCGAGCCCTAAAGTGTCTGTCAGACGTGACCACGTAGTTGCAATAGAGCGCCTTGTGACAGAGTTCGTCCAGGATAGTACCGCCTATTTCTGCCGCTAAGCAGTAATGTCAGCAATACTGTATTCCAGTTTTGAAGGGTAAGGGTGCTGGTGAAATTACAGGCACATGGGACTTGTCAACTTATGTCTCAGTGTGACGAGCACAGTTGTAGTGCCTCTCAGACCTTTGCAATTTAAAGCTCTGAGTGGCACTGTATCTGTTATAGATAGGCGTGTAGCTTACCATTAGGTGCACGACTTGTTCGTCCCATCACTTGACGTTATAAAAAAAAACACGGGACCTGTAAAGTGCCCGAAACGTTAGTTTATTTCAAAACATAAATATACGCGATTTAGAGTGGTTACACACGGGGACTTTCAGCAGCGATGCAAACGCGCGATTACATCGCTACACTTACGAAATTTGCGAAATGCGCGGTTGCATCGATGCAATCGCCTATAAATGCCAAGGGTAGCGATGCAATCGCGTGTTTGTATCGATGCAGTCGCGCGCTTGCGTCGCGTTTGCATCGCTGCTTAAAATCGCGCGCGTGTATACAGGTAGACGATTAGCGACTGTATCGCGTTTGTATCGCTGCTAAAAGTCGCCGTGTGTAACCGCTCTTAGATCCGAAAAACTAGTTTCATTTCCATGTTTCAATTCTTGTTGTAACCTCCAGAGACGTTACACAATTTGAACATAAAACTAAAATAATTGACGCTGTCGTTAGCCATTATTAACACAGCTGTTGTTTATATTTCACAGTGCAGGAATCGGTGATGCCTTAGGTGCAGGGTCAAGGGCACGTCAAATCTGACGCATAAGAACCAAATTCAATTTATGGGCTAGCGATAAGAACAACGGTCCAAAAGTGTCAAGATTTATGTGCTCTTGACTGTACCTAGATCGAACTTTAGGCCAAGTTCTTGGCACGCGGTTGCCCTGAATAATTGTGTACGCATCGCAAATAGCTGAACGTTATAACCGTACAAGCAATAACCGAGATGGGATTTGTTAGTATTTATGAAAACATAAAGTAACTTAATATATGACGCACGCATTTTAATGAAAAAGTAGAGTCATGTGTGCAATTAAATTAAACAGACATCTGATAAGTTGCCCCCGGCGCTCGGCTGGTCTGGCGCCGGCACCAGCTGTTCCCATTGGAATCGCCCCTTATTCAAATCAAACCACTCACACGATGTTTGTTTTTATAGGTTTATTAACAGCTACATAGAATTTATTACTGCAGTCAGTGTAATACTAGTACGACGAGTGCCAGTTGGTGGATTTTGACGATAATAGGCACTGTATACCTTTAAGATTGCTACATCTTTAAATGTATTACTGCTATGTACGGACTTCTTCAATTGAAGAGTGTTTGGTGGACTACACCATACTGGATTAATTAAAGACGTGAATTTCTCTTAATTATCTAAGACTTCGGTTTTTCTTTTGCCATTAAAGCGCGCGTAAATCAGCAATCTTAACATAAATGTTTCGAAAATACTCAGTTATGCTTGTGTTGGTAATGGAATAAAAACCTTCTGCATTGTAGGCAAGAGATATTACATTAATGCTGTTGTACGGTCGTAGAGTATGTATTAACTGTATTATGTGTAATATAATATTGTGGGTAATCTCATAAAATCATGTGTGTAGGTTGTTTATAAAATAAACTAGTGCTAAATCAACTTGCATGTGATTAATTACATGTTGACAGCTTAATTAAATACGGATATTTTTGAGTAAATTATTGCGTATAACCACAGTATTACAATATATTCTTTAGTATAACTACGGAACACACGCGTCCTCCAGTGGAATTGTCACTTGAAGGTGGTCCAATCGGACGGAGTCGTGGCGTAAATGGCGTAAGTTATTTGAAATGTTTAAAGGCGTCTAGACTGAGCAAACAGCTAAAGAAGTTGAGGCAGTCAAGTTGGTTTAACACTGTTTTATAAACAACCCACGCACATAACTTTATAAGATTACCCACAATATTATATTTCATCTTTTCCCTTATAAATATAAACAAATAGAATTGTTATTGTATGTTTTGTTACAGGTTGTCCGACATCCGAAGGACTCCAGGGGCGTAGTGAGGATAGCGAAGGTTGCGGGCGCGCGATGTGGGCGCTGCTACTGCTAGCGCTGCCCGCTCTGGCAGGTGCGTTCCTTCCGATGACAGTGAATCACACATATCACATTGGGTTGTGTCCTCACATTGCACAAAGATTAACAAAACACGCTAAGCCAGATGTGCACGCGGTGTTAGCAAGGTTAAGCGCCTAAACCGTCCCGTTCCACGAACTCCATACTATAAATAATCTTTTATTGGAAACAGTCGCGCATGGTATGCCCGGAGCACTCTATGCGACACACCATACTTGATTAAAAATGCTTCTCAAGCTTTCTAGTTGTGATAAACGTAACAACACGAGCATAATATCTCACCCTTGGTGAAATAAGGTCACATCTGCAAAATGACAAGTTTTTGTTTTGTCATTTGAACATTCTATGAACGAAATTAGTCGATGACTTTTTTTATGCTTAAATAGGAGAGTCATAAAATTTTACATCTGCACATACAAGGTTATTTTTAAATACTAACAATCTCGCAGGACCATATTATTTACAGTATAAACAACAGCTTTTGTTCCATGACTTTTTACAAAATCTAATAAATGTACTAAAAATAAACTTTTAAATTTTTACTGCATTATCTGACACCACTTTTTAGGTCTCAAAGTCAAGGTCAAGTCAAATAATCATTTATTCCATAGGTAAAATTTTTACATTTGAAAACGTAATTTTTTAAGCTACTGCTCGT